CGTCACTGCCTTAGTTACCACGTGGGATAATCCTCCAACCTGAGCTAACGTGTGGGATGAACATCGGAAGGGTTGGCCAGCCTACAGTGGTGGCCGAGCGCTCTGTTTACACTCCTTCACTTGGCGTTCCAATGTTTTCTGCTTCCACATCTTATTACTTTTCATTTCTCATTTTGTCTAAACTGGTTTTCAACATTTAACAGTTATATTTTTCAACATGCTTTCCAGCTACAGAACATACTTGGAATAGTCTCTTTTATCGATATTAAGTAGTTGTTTACATCTTTTGAGAGAGGTTCGTTCTCCCACTGTAGTTATGCCCCTGCACATGTGCAGAAGAGCTGCTGAAGTGGCGGGAATTTTGAAATTTAACTTTTCCCACCCCCAACAATTATTACATATATTCACCATAAAACATTCCCAGAGGTCCCTTCCTACCATCCAGTGTGTTGACTGTGGGTAATGTATACTTATGAGTGTAAAGCTGCCGTCCAGTTGGGTGGGGTGCGGAGCTCGGTTACCAACTGTTTAACTGACAACCGCCAGATGTAAATTGTCTTTTATAGCGAATAATGTGGAACACTTTTTGAACCACTTTTGATATATTAAAACAAAAGGCTGTTGATTTCTGTATATATATTTGTGTATATATGTAAGTATGTGTGTACTCACCTAGTTGTGCTTGTGGGGGCTGAGCTCTGGCTCTTTGGTCCCGCCTCGTAACTGTCAATCAACTGATGTACAGGTTCCTGAGCCTACTGGGCTCTATCATATATATATGTTTAAAACTGTTTATGGAGTCAGCCTCCACCACAACACTGCCTAGTTCATTCCATTTACTAACTACTCTGATACTGAAAAAGTTATTTCTAATGGCTCATTTGGGTACTCTGCTTCCACCTGTGTCCCCTTGTTCGTGTGCCACCCGTGTTAAATAATAAATTCTTGTCTTCCCTCCCAATTCCCTCGAGAATTTTGTATGTGGTGATCATGTCTCCCCTAGCTCTACTGTCTTCCAGCGACGTGAGGTGCGTATGTGTAAGCATGTAAGAATAGGGAGCAATAGCGCACTAAACAGTGAAATAATGACCTACTATTTTGAAAAAGCAAGAAAAGTAGATTGAATATTTCTGTCCCAAATTTGGACCCTCTTCAGCAGTGAGCGAGAATTACAGCTGAAGCTGCTTTCATGGCGTCACGTTATTTGTCATAGGAGGAAGTGTACCACCTGTGTCCCCTCTCTCTGGGTCCTGTGATGGCACCTGCCCTTCCTCGTGTCTCTCCTTCTATTCATACCTTGTACTCGTACTTTGGCTGAGTGGACAGCGCTCGGGATTCGTAGTCCTAAGGTCCCGGGTTCGATCCCCGGCAGAGGCAGAAACAATTGGGCATAGTTTCTTTCACCCTGATGTCCCTGTTCACCTAGCAGTAAATAGGTACTTGGTAGTTAGACAGCTGCTACGGGCTGCTTCCTGGGGGTGTGTAACAAAAAGGCCTGGTCGAGGACCGGGCCGCGGGAAAGCTAAGCCCCGAAATCATCTCAAGATAAGAAGATATACCGTGCGGGTATGTCTTTCAACCCTTCCAACTTTTGCTAGCTTCTTTATGCGTTGCACATGCATACATTAGTCTGACATACGTGATGTCCAGAGTTCTTATTGGATACTTGATCAAATTCCTTAAGACAATGTGTAACTCATGCCAAGAGTGATCAGTGTTCCTCGTATCTCTCTCACTCTGATCCTAACTTGTCCAGTAACTCCCCTCTAAGACTTTATTATAGAAAACTGTTTTAACTAAATAACGTCTTCTGGATTTCCCCAAATAATAAGTATGTACTCACCTAATTGTGGTTGCAAGGTTTGAGCTCTGGCTCTTTGGTCCCGCCTCTCAACCGTCAATGAACAGGTGTACAGGTTCCTGAGCCTACTGGGCTCTATCATATCTACACTTGAAACTGTGTATGGAGTCAGCCTCCACCACATCACTTCCTAATGCATTCCATTTGTCAACCACTCTGACACTAAAAAAGTTCTTTCTAATATCTCTGTGGCTCATTTGGGCACTCAGTTTCCACCTGTGTCCCCTAGTGCGTGTGCCCCTTGTGTTAAATAGCCCGTCTTTATCAACCCTGTCGAGACAGGCTATTTAACACAAGGGGCACACGCACAAGGGGACACAGGTGGAAACTGAGCGCCCAAATGAGCCACAGAGATATTAGAAAGAACTTTTTTAGTGTCAGAGTGGTTGACAAATGTGTGTGTGTGTGTGTGTGTGTGTGTGTGTGTGTGTGTGTGTGTGTGTGTGTGTTTGTTTTACAGGAATCTGATAGATTAACATTTGTATGTATATGTGTGTCGGCGTGCTTGGTAGGGCTTATCTAACTTATCTTATCTTAGTTGCTAGTTATATGGATACACACACACACGTTATCTGCGTATATGGTTATATAAACTTGTCGAAAAGTGACATTATTGAAATGTTTATTCTTTCTTTACAGAAGCGGCCGCGGTGGGGGTGCGGTACGACACCTCCCTCACCTGGAGCATGGATGCCACAACTTCCCAGACGTAGGAGGTGAGAAATAAACCATTTGCCTGAATTTACCTGAAGCCCACTATCTAGTAGCCTCGATGGGGACAGGAAACCAACGGCTTGTCAAAGGTCCCACCATTCTTGTACAGCCATTAGGACGCACAGCGTATCCCACAAGACTAATTACACACACCCCAGGAAGCAGCCCGTAGCAGCTGTCTAACTCCCAGGTACCTATTTACTGCTAGGTGTACGTTTCCCTTCACCTGATGACACTGTTCACCTAGCAGTTGTTGCCCTCGGGGGGGTGGGGGGGGAGGCCTCGGTACAAGCCTAACGTATATACATACATATGCCGTATATATATATATATTATATATATATTATATATATATATATATATATATATATATATATATATATATATATATATATATATATATATATATATATATGTCGTACCTAGTAGCCAGAACGCACTTCTCAGCCTACTATGCAAGGCCCGATTTGCCAAATAAGCCTAGTTTTCATGAATTAATGTTTTTTCGACTACCTAACCTACCTAACCTAACCTAACCTAACGTTTTCGGCTACCTAACCTAACCTAACCTATAAAGATAGGTTAGGTTAGGTTAGGTAGGGTTGGTTAGGTTCGGTCACATATCTACGTTAATTTTAACTCCAATAAAAAAAAATTGACCTCATACATAATGAAATGGGTAGCTTTATCATTCCATAAGAAAAAAATTAGAGAAAATATATTAATTCAGTAAAACTTGGCTTATTAGGCAAATCGGGCCTTGAATAGTAGGCTGAGAAGTGAGTTCTGGCTACTAGGTACGACATATATATATATATATATATATATATGAGGCGTGTGTGTGGGTCCCGCACACTGAGTGTTGACTGTCGGCTCCTCCTCCCCCCAGCCCCCCCCCCCCGGCACTTAGGCAATATCCAGGCCCCCTACGTCAACAACTGGCCCTCTCCTGCATGCCACCCACAACAGTTGTCTACCTCCCGGCCACCTTTTTACTGCTGGGTGAACAGAGGCGTTAGGTGATAGCAAGTGAGCCACTTTGATATACCTATATAAGGCTCTAGTTGGGCCGCATCTAGAGTATCCCCCAGTACCACTACACACCATAAAGAAACTAACATGCAGAAACTGCAAGCAGTACAAAATAAGGCGCTAAGGAGAGCAGCAAAACACCGTCCACCATATGATCAGACAGTCCAGGAGCTCCAGGAACTCCTGAACACACAGTCACTAAACATCAGACTACAGCACCAAGCCTCCAGGGTGTGGAACACCATCCCAATGTTAGAAAGATTACTCCAAGATGAGACGCCCCACTCCCACAGTTGGTGACCCAAGATGAGACGCCCCACTCCCACAGCTGGTGGCCCAAGATGAGACGCCCCACTCCCACAGCTGGTGGCCCAAGATGAGACGCCCCACTCCCACAGCTGGTGGCCCAAGATGAGACGCCCCACTCCCACAGCTGGTGACCCAAGATGAGACGCCCCCACTCCCACAGCTGGTGGCCCAAGATGAGACGCCCCACTCCCACAGCTGGTGGCCCAAGATGAGACGCCCCACTCCCACAGCTGGTGGTCCAAGATGAGACGCCCCACTCCCACAGCTGGTGGCACAAGATGAGACGCCCCACTCCCACAGCTGGTGGTCCAAGATGAGACGCCCCCACTCCCACAGCTGGTGGCCCAAGATGAGACGCCCCACTCCCACAGCTGGTGGCCCAAGATGAGACGCCCCACTCTTACAGCTGGTGGCCCAAGATGAGACGCCCCACTCCCACAGCTGGTGGTCCAAGATGAGACGCCCCACTCCCACAGCTGGTGGCCCAAGATGAGACGCCCCACTCCCACAGCTGGTGGCCCAAGATGAGACGCCCCACTCCCACAGCTGGTGGTCCAAGATGAGACGCCCCACTCCCACAGCTGGTGGCCCAAGATGAGACGCCCCACTCCCACAGCTGGTGGCCCAAGATGAGACGCCCCACTCCCACAGCTGGTGGCCAAGATGAGACGCCCCACTCCCACAGCTGGTGGTCCAAGATGAGACGCCCCACTCCCACAGCTGGTGGTCCAAGATGAGACGCCCCACTCCCACAGCTGGTGGTCCAAGATGAGACGCCCCACTCCCACAGCTGGTGGCCCAAGATGAGACGCCCCACTCCCACAGCTGGTGGCCCAAGATGAGACGCCCCACTCCCACAGCTGGTGACCCAAGATGAGACGCCCCACTCCCACAGCTGGTGGCCCAAGATGAGACGCCCCACTCCCACAGCTGGTGGCCCAAGATGAGACGCCCCACTCCCACAGCTGGTGGCCCAAGATGAGACGCCCCACTCCCTCAGCTGGTGGCCCAAGATGAGACGCCCCACTGCCACAGCTGGTGGCCCAAGATGAGACGCCCCACTCCCACAGCTGGTGGCCCAAGATAAGACGCCCCACTCCCACAGCTGGTGGCCCAAGATGAGACGCCCCACTCCCACAGCTGGTGGCCCAAGATGAGACGCCCCACTCCCTCAGCTGGTGGCCCAAGATGAGACGCCCCACTCCCACAGCTGGTGGCCCAAGATGAGACGCCCCACTCCCACAGCTGGTGGCCCAAGATGAGACGCCCCACTCCCTCAGCTGGTGGCCCAAGATGAGACGCCCCACTCCCTCAGCTGGTGGCCCAAGATGAGACGCCCCACTCCCACAGCTGGTGGCCCAAGATGAGACGCCCCACTCCCACAGCTGGTGACCCAAGATGAGACGCCCCACTCCCACAGCTGGTGGTCCAAGATGAGACGCCCCACTGCCACAGCTGGTGGTCCAAGATGAGACGCCCCACTCCCACAGCTGGTGGTCCAAGATGAGACGCCCCACTGCCACAGCTGGTGACCCAAGATGAGACGCCCCACTGCCACAGCTGGTGACCCAAGATGAGACGCCCCACTCCCACAGCTGGTGGCCCAAGATGAGACGCCCCACTCCCTCAGCTGGTGGCCCAAGATGAGACGCCCCGCTCCCACAGCTGGTGACCCAAGATGAGACGCCCCACTCCCACAGCTGGTGGCCCAAGATGAGACGCCCCACTGCCACAGCTGGTGGCCCAAGATGAGACGCCCCACTCCCACAGCTGGTGGCCCAAGATGAGACGCCCCACTCCCACAGCTGGTGGCCCAAGATGAGACGCCCCACTCCCACAGCTGGTGGCCCAAGATGAGACGCCCCACTGCCACAGCTGGTGGCCCAAGATGAGACGCCCCACTCCCACAGCTGGTGGCCCAAGATGAGACGCCCCACTGCCACAGCTGGTGGCCCAAGATGAGACGCCCCACTGCCACAGCTGGTGGCCCAAGATGAGACGCCCCACTCCCACAGCTGGTGGCCCAAGATGAGACGCCCCACTCCCACAGCTGGTGGCCCAAGATGAGACGCCCCGCTCCCACAGCTGGTGGCCCAAGATGAGACGCACCGCTCCCACAGCTGGTGACCCAAGATGAGACGCCCCACTCCCACAGCTGGTGGCCCAAGATGAGACGCCCCACTGCCACAGCTGGTGGCCCAAGATGAGACGCCCCACTGCCACAGCTGGTGGCCCAAGATGAGACGCCCCACTCCCACAGCTGGTGGCCCAAGATGAGACGCCCCACTGCCACAGCTGGTGGCCCAAGATGAGACGCCCCACTCCCACAGCTGGTGGCCCAAGATGAGACGCCCCACTCCCACAGCTGGTGGCCCAAGATGAGACGCCCCACTGCCACAGCTGGTGGCCCAAGATGAGACGCCCCGCTCCCACAGCTGGTGGCCCAAGATGAGACGCCCCACTCCCACAGCTGGTGGCCCAAGATGAGACGCCCCACTCCCACAGCTGGTGGCCCAAGATGAGACGCCCCACTCCCACAGCTGGTTGCCCAAGATGAGACGCCCCACTCCCACAGCTGGTGGCCCAAGATGAGACGCCCCACTGCCACAGCTGGTGGCCCAAGATGAGACGCCCCACTGCCACAGCTGGTGGCCCAAGATGAGACGCCCCACTCCCACAGCTGGTGGCCCAAGATGAGACGCCCCACTGCCACAGCTGGTGGCCCAAGATGAGACGCCCCACTCCCACAGCTGGTGGCCCAAGATGAGACGCCCCACTTCCACAGCTGGTGGCCCAAGATGAGACGCCCCACTCCCACAGCTGGTGGCCCAAGATGAGACGCCCCACTCCCACAGCTGGTGGCCCAAGATGAGACGCCCCACTTCCACAGCTGGTGGCCCAAGATGAGACGCCCCACTGCCACAGCTGGTGGTCCAAGATGAGACGCCCCACTGCCACAGCTGGTGGCCCAAGATGAGACGCCCCACTCCCACAGCTGGTGGCCCAAGATGAGACGCCCCACTTCCACAGCTGGTGGCCCAAGATGAGACGCCCCACTGCCACAGCTGGTGGCCCAAGATGAGACGCCCCACTGCCACAGCTGGTGGCCCAAGATGAGACGCCCCACTCCCACAGCTGGTGGCCCAAGATGAGACGCCCCACTGCCACAGCTGGTGGCCCAAGATGAGACGCCCCACTGCCACAGCTGGTGGCCCAAGATGAGACGCCCCACTGCCACAGCTGGTGGCCCAAGATGAGACGCCCCACTGCCACAGCTGGTGGCCCAAGATGAGACGCCCCACTGCCACAGCTGGTGGCCCAAGATGAGACGCCCCCACTGCCACAGCTGGTGGCCCAAGATGAGACGCCCCACTGCCACAGCTGGTGGCCCAAGATGAGACGCCCCACTGCCACAGCTGGTGGCCCAAGATGAGACGCCCCACTGCCACAGCTGGTGGCCCAAGATGAGACGCCCCACTGCCACAGCTGGTGGCCCAAGATGAGACGCCCCACTGCCACAGCTGGTGGCCCAAGATGAGACGCCCCACTCCCACAGCTGGTGGCCCAAGATGAGACGCCCCACTCCCACAGCTGGTGGCCCAAGATGAGACGCCCCACTGCCACAGCTGGTGACCCAAGATGAGACGCCCCACTGCCACAGCTGGTGGTCCAAGATGAGACGCCCCACTGCCACAGCTGGTGGTCCAAGATGAGACGCCCCACTGCCACAGCTGGTGGCCCAAGATGAGACGCCCCACTCCCACAGCTGGTGGCCCAAGATGAGACGCCCCACTGCCACAGCTGGTGACCCAAGATGAGACGCCCCACTGCCACAGCTGGTGGTCCAAGATGAGACGCCCCACTCCCACAGCTGGTGGCCCAAGATGAGACGCCCCACTGCCACAGCTGGTGGCCCAAGATGAGACGCCCCACTCCCACAGCTGGTGACACAAGATGAGACGCCCCACTCCCACAGCTGGTGACACAAGATGAGACGCCCCACTGCCACAGCTGGTGACCCAAGATGAGACGCCCCACTGCCACAGCTGGTGGTACAAGATGAGACGCCCCACTGCCACAGCTGGTGGCCCAAGATGAGACGCCCCACTCCCACAGCTGGTGGCCCAAGATGAGACGCCCCACTGCCACAGCTGGTGACCCAAGATGAGACGCCCCACTGCCACAGCTGGTGGTCCAAGATGAGACGCCCCACTCCCACAGCTGGTGGTCCAAGATGAGACGCCCCACTGCCACAGCTGGTGGTCCAAGATGAGACGCCCCACTCCCACAGCTGGTGGTCCAAGATGAGACGCCCCACTCCCACAGCTGGTGGTCCAAGATGAGACGCCCCACTCCCACAGCTGGTGGTCCAAGATGAGACGCCCCACTCCCACAGCTGGTGGCCCAAGATGAGACGCCCCACTCCCACAGCTGGTGGCCCAAGATGAGACGCCCCACTCCCACAGCTGGTGGCCCAAGATGAGACGCCCCACTCCCACAGCTGGTGGCCCAAGATGAGACGCCCCACTCCCACAGCTGGTGGCCCAAGATGAGACGCCCCACTCCCACAGCTGGTGGCCCAAGATGAGACGCCCCACTCCCACAGCTGGTGGCCCAAGATGAGACGCCCCACTCCCACAGCTGGTGGCCCAAGATGAGACGCCCCACTCCCACAGCTGGTGGCCCAAGATGAGACGCCCCACTCCCACAGCTGGTGGCCCAAGATGAGACGCCCCACTCCCACAGCTGGTGGCCCAAGATGAGACGCCCCACTCCCACAGCTGGTGGCCCAAGATGAGACGCCCCACTCCCACAGCTGGTGGCCCAAGATGAGACGCCCCACTCCCACAGCTGGTGGCCCAAGATGAGACGCCCCACTCCCACAGCTGGTGGCCCAAGATGAGACGCCCCACTCCCACAGCTGGTGGCCCAAGATGAGACGCCCCACTCCCACAGCTGGTGGCCCAAGATGAGACGCCCCACTCCCACAGCTGGTGGCCCAAGATGAGACGCCCCACTCCCACAGCTGGTGGCCCAAGATGAGACGCCCCACTCCCACAGCTGGTGGCCCAAGATGAGACGCCCCACTCCCACAGCTGGTGGCCCAAGATGAGACGCCCCACTCCCACAGCTGGTGGCCCAAGATGAGACGCCCCACTCCCACAGCTGGTGGCCCAAGATGAGACGCCCCACTCCCACAGCTGGTGGCCCAAGATGAGACGCCCCACTCCCACAGCTGGTGGCCCAAGATGAGACGCCCCACTCCCACAGCTGGTGGCCCAAGATGAGACGCCCCACTCCCACAGCTGGTGGCCCAAGATGAGACGCCTCACTCCCACAGCTGGTGGCCCAAGATGAGACACCCCACTCCCACAGCTGGTGACCCAAGATGAGACGCCCCACTCCCACAGCTGGTGGTCCAAGATGAGACGCCCCACTGCCACAGCTGGTGGCGCAAGATGAGACGCCCCACTCCCACAGCTGGTGGCCCAAGATGAGACGCCCCACTCCCACAGCTGGTGGTCCAAGATGAGACGCCCCACTCCCACAGCTGGTGGCCCAAGATGAGACGCCCCACTCCCACAGCTGGTGGCCCAAGATGAGACGCCCCACTCCCACAGCTGGTGGTCCAAGCTGAGACGCCCCACTCCCACAGCTGATGGTCCAAGATGAGACGCCCCACTGCCACAGCTGGTGGTCCAAGATGAGACGCCCCACTCCCACAGCTGGTGGTCCAAGATGAGACGCCCCACTCCCACAGCTGGTGGCCCAAGATGAGACGCTCCACGGTGGGGCGTTTTTCTCTGTGTAAAAAACAACAATGCCCCACAGCCCCACAGAACATAATTCCTAGATGAAATACTGATCATAAATTCCTCCCCCAATAATGAATTAATAAGTAAAATATATAGTCTCAGGAGACTATGGCCTTGCGCTCTGGTTGTCGGTGTGGAGTGGCCTCTCCAGGGCGCAAAGCCTGGATAGGTTGATACGAGGGAAAGAAGCTGTTACCCATGCATATGTGGTGAATACTACAAGACAGTATTCATCTATAGACTTCACATGACACAGCTCCCTGACACGAGTAGCCAGCAAGCTTAGCTGCCAACACCCACACATCGTGTCAGCAAGGCGGACAGTCCGCCTGCTGTCATACCTCTCACTGTATTTCCCATTTCTAAACTTTCCCTCCACCTGTGCCTCTCCATCCTCATTACTCCCCAAAAATGTTCTCTGTCTATCCCATTCTCCAGAGTGGTGTGTCCTGAGACAGGGAGCAGCGTGGAGCGAGGACAGGCGGGGGACGCAGGAGAGGCAGGCCACACCCCCCCCCCCCTGGATGGAACTGTGGGCAGGTTGCTTCTCTCCCTCAGCCTCTCACCTCAGCGGGAGCCATGAAGGCCAGACACTTCGGCAGGCGCTTCTCCCTCCAGGTATGTGGGCACCTGGGGGGGGGGAGGGGGAGGGAGGGAGGGAGGGAGGGAGGGAGGAAGAGAACCTAGGCAATTATGATAAAAAATGTATGACATTGCATATCAGACAGACTAATAAATGTTTAGCCTAACCCTATATAGTGCCTTGTGATAGTCGACATATTGGGAACGAAGTCTGACCCTTCAGTGAGCATGAAAAGCCACTGATTCACCCAAGGCAGCCAGGAAACCTACGGCACAATGCACACCTTCTTGACAGCAGTAGCTGCAACACCTTACATGAAGCACAAGTCCACTCCCATCTTGAGCATGCACCCTCTCCTGCACTCTCTCGCCCCTCATCACTCATCACAATTTTATACAAAATCGAGAATCGAGCATGAAGGCTCATCTCTAGTCTTGACCAAGTCTGGTGGGAACGGTCTGAACATCAGAGCCTGCAACACCGTCGTGACGTTGGTGGTCTTACTGTTATGTACAAGGCCAACATTCTCAAAGTTCCGCACCTGGCCAAACTCCGTGGACATCCAGTAGTTCTCACTTGTAGTACTAGGCTCTCAACCTTAAACAGTCTCCGAGGCTGACTGGCATCAGGAACTTGTTGGCCCAACAGGTTGATACACGGGAGATCAGGTCAAGTGATCACATGAAGGCTCTGGCACACAGTTGGCTACACGCTCATCCTCTTCCTTATATCATTGATACTTAACATTACAATTAGTTTATTCTTGAAATCAATAATAAACTCATCAGGTGAGCTGTTGCAGTATTTGAGAGAGAGAGAGAAAGAGAGAAAGAGAGAGAGAGAGAGGGAGCGGAGAGAGAGAGAGAGAGAGAGAGAGAGAGAGAGAGAGAGAGAGAGAGAGAGAGAGAGAGAGAGAGAGAGAGAGAGAGAGAGAGAGAGAGAGAGAGAGAGAGAGAGAGAGAGAGAATGTGTATTTTGTTTACTCACCTATTTGTGCCTGCAGGGTCGAGCATTGACTCTTGGATCCCGCCTTTCGAGCATCGGTTGTTTACAGCAATGACTCCTGTCCCATTTTCCTATCATATCTAGTCTTAAAATTATGAATAGTATTTGCTTCCGCAACCTGTTCCTTGAGTGCATTCCATTTTCCCACTACTCTCACGCTAAAAGAAAACTTCCTAACATCTCTGTGACTCATCTGAGTTTTCAGTTCCCACCCATGTCCCCTCGTTCTGTTATTATTACGTGTGAACATTTCATCTATTTCCACTCTGTCAATCCCTCTGAGTATTTTATACGTTCCTATCATATCCCCCTCTCTCTCTTTTTTTTCTACTGTCGTCAGGTTCAATTCCTTCAGGCGATCTTTGTACCCCATCCCTCGTAATTTTCCGACAAGCCTCGTCGCAAACTTCTGAACCTTTTCCAGTTTCCTTATGTGCTTCTTCAGGTGGGGGCTCCATGATGGCGCGGCATACTCTAAGACTGGCCTCACATAGGCAGTGTAAAGCGCCCTAAATGCCTCCTTACTTTGGTTTCTGAATGTTGTTCTAACTTTCGCCAGTGTAGAGTACGCTGCTGTCGTTATCCTATTTATATGTGCCTCAGGAGTTAGATTAGGTGTCACATCCACTCCCAGGTCTCTTTCTCGAGTCGTCACAGGTAGGCAGTTCCCCTTCATTGTGTACTGTCCTTTTGGTCTCCTATCTCCTAGTCCCATTTCATTAACTTTACATTTGCTGGTGTTGAACTCCAGTAGCCATTTCTCTGACCATCTCTACAACCTGTCGAAGTCCTCTTGGAGGATCCTACAATCCTCATCTGTCACAACTCTTCTCATTAATTTCGCGTCATCCGCGAACATCAACATGTAGGACCCGACTCCTGTAGACATGTCGTTAACGTATATTAGAAATAGAGCTGGTCCCAGCCCCGATCCTTGAGGTACTCCACTCGTTACAGTCTCGCCCTTGACTGTTACTCTCTGGCTCCTGCCTGTTAGGTAGTTCCTTACACAAGGTAAGGCCTTTCCGCTTACTTCCGCCTGCCTCTCAAGTGTGAATAGCAGTCTCATGTGCGGCACTGTGTCAAAGGCTAGATACAGTACCACACAGGAGACTGTGTGTACTCACCTAATTGTGCTTGCTGGGGTTGAGCTCTGGCTCTTTGGTCCCGCCTCTTAACCATCAATCAACTGGTGTACAGGTTCCTGAGCCTACTAAACTCTATCATATCTACACTTGAAACTGTGTATGGAGTCAGCCTCCACCACATTACTTCCTTATGCATTCCATTTGTCAACCACTCTGACACTAAAAAAGTTCTTTCTAATATCTCTGTGACTCATTTGGGCACTCAGTTTCCACCTGTGTCCCCTAGTGCGTGTGCCCCTTGTGTTAAATAGACTGTCTTTATCTACCCTATCAATTCCCTTGAGAATCTTGAATGTGGTGATCATGTCCCCCTAACTGTTCTTTCTTCCAGAGAAGTGAGGTTTAATTCCCGTAGTCTCTCCTCGTAGCTCATACCTCTCAGCTCGGGTACTAGTCTGGTGGCAAACCTTTGAACCTTTTCCAGTTTAGTCTTATCCTTGCCTAGATATGGACTCCATGCTGGGGCTGCATACTCCAGGATTGGCCTGACATATGTGGTATACAAAGTTCTGAATGATTCCTCACACAAGTTTCTGAATGCCGTTCTTATGTTGGCCAGCCTGGCATATGCCGCTGATGTTATCCTCTTGATATGGGCTGCAGGAGACAGGTCTGGCGTGATGTCAACCCCCAAGTCTTTTTCTCTCTCTGACTCTTGAAGAATTTCATCTCCCAGATGATACCTTGTGTCTGGTCCCCTGCTCCCTACACCTATCTTCATTACATTACATTTGGTTGGGTTAAACTCTAACAACCATTTTTTCGACCATTCCTGCAGCTTGTCTAGGTCTTCTTGAAGCCTCAAGCAGTCCTTCTCTGTCTTAATCCTTCTCATAATTTTGGCATCGTCAGCAAACATTGAGAGGAATGAGTCTATACCCTTTGGGAGATCATCCACTGCACACCCTGGACCCTGATAAACACACATAGAACGTGTGTGTGTGTGTGGGTGTGTGTGTGTGTGTGTGTGTGTGTGTGTGTGTGTGTGTGTGTGTGTGTGTGTGTGTGTGTGTGTGTGTGTATTCACCCTAGTTGTATTCACCTAGTTGTGTTTGCGGGGGTTGAGCTTTGCTCTTTCGGCTCGCCTCTCAACTGTCAATCAACTGTTTACTCTTTTGTTTATCCACGTGACAGCTGACTAACTCCCAGGTACCTATTTACTGCTAGGTAACAGGGGCATTCAGGGTGAAAGAAACTTTGCCCATTTGTTTCTGCCTTGTGCGGGAATCGAACCCACGCCGCAGAATTACGAGTCCTGCGCGCTATCCACCAGGCTATCAGGGGCCCCAGTGTGTGTGTGCGTGCGTGCGTGCGCGTGTGTGTGAGTGCCTATATATTGAGAAACAATCAGTTCCCCCCCTCCCCTCCCCCCCCCCAGGGATCCAAGACATTCCAACAACAACCCGCAGCCTTAACTGCCCCTAATTACCCAGATAGATTCAAACGACCCCAACTCTCATAAGCAACAATCTACCCCCTGCAAGTCCTAATTACCACACTACTGCCAATTTAATGCACCAAATAACCAATTACGTCTGCCAGTTACAGACGTATGTGACCCCGTGACATTACCACCTGTTGGTGAGGTGACCACCTGTTGGTGAGGTGACCACCTGTTGGTGAGGTGACCACCTGTTGGTGAGGTGACCACCTGTTGGTGAGGTGACCACCTGTTGGTGAGGTGACCACCTGTTGGTGAGGTGACCACCTGTTGGTGAGGTGACCACCTGTTGGTGAAGTGACCACCTGTTACTTTATTATTTATGGTGTATTTCGTTTGATTAAATAATCAGAATGTTTACTATATATAAATCATGCTCTCTGAGTGGCCAGGAAGACATGCTCTCTGAGTGGCCAGGAAGTCATGCTCTCTGAGTGGTCAGGAAGACATGCTCTCTGAGTGGTCAGGAAGACATGCTGTCTGAGTGGACAGGAAGACATGCTCTCTGAGTGGTCAGGAAGACATGCTCTCTGAGTGGTCAGGAAGACATGCTCTCTGAGTGGCCAGGAAGACATGCTCTCTGAGTGGTCAGGAAGTCATGCTCTCTGAGTGGCCAGGAAGACATGCTCTCTGAGTGGCCAGGAAGACCTGCTGTCTGAGTGGTCAGGAAGACATGCTCTCTGAGTGGCCAGGAAGACCTGCTGTCTGAATGGCCAGGAAGACATGCTCTCTGAGTGGCCAGGAAGACATGCTCTCTGAATGGTCAGGAAGTCATGCTCTCTGAGTGGCCAGGAAGACATGCTCTCTGAGTGGCCAGGAAGTCATGCTCTCTGAGTGGTCAGGAAGACATGCTCTCTGAGTGGTCAGGAAGACATGCTGTCTGAGTGGACAGGAAGACATGCTCTCTGAGTGGTCAGGAAGACATGCTCTCTGAGTGGTCAGGAAGTCATGCTCTCTGAGTGGCCAGGAAGACCTGCTGTCTGAGTGGTCAGGAAGACATGCTCTCTGAGTGGCCAGGAAGACATGCTCTCTGAGTGGTCAGGAAGTCATGCTCTCTGAGTGGCCAGGAAGACATGCTCTCTGAGTGGCCAGGAAGACCTGCTGTCTGAGTGGTCAGGAAGACATGCTCTCTGAGTGGCCAGGAAGACCTGCTGTCTGAATGGCCAGGAAGACATGCTCTCTGAGTGGCCAGGAAGACATGCTCTCTGAGTGGTCAGGAAGTCATGCTCTCTGAGTGGCCAGGAAGACATGCTCTCTGAGTGGCCAGGAAGTCATGCTCTCTGAGTGGTCAGGAAGACATGCTCTCTGAGTGGTCAGGAAGACATGCTCTCTGAGTGGTCAGGAAGTCATGCTCTCTGAGTGGCCAGGAAGACATGCTCTCTGAGTGGCCAGGAAGTCATGCTCTCTGAGTGGCCAGGAAGACATGCTCTCTGAGTGGCCAGGAAGTCATGCTCTCTGAGTGGTCAGGAAGACATGCTCTCTGAGTGGTCAGGAAGACATGCTGTCTGAGTGGTCAGGAAGACATGCTCTCTGAGTGGCCAGGAAGACCTGCTCTCTGAGTGGCCAGGAAGACATGCTCTCTGAGTGGTCAGGAAGACATGCTCTCTGAGTGGTCAGGAAGACATGCTCTCTGAGTGGTCAGGAAGACATGCTCTCTGAGTGGTCAGGAAGACATGCTCTCTGAGTGGCCAGGAAGACCTGCTCTCTGAGTGGCCAGGAAGACATGCTCTCTGAGTGGCCAGGAAGACATGCTCTCTGAGTGGCCAGGAAGACATGCTCTCTGAGTGGTCAGGAAGTCATGCTCTCTGAGTGGTCAGGAAGTCATGCTCTCTGAGTGGCCAGGAAGACATGCTCTCTGAGTGGCCAGGAAGACATGCTCTCTGAGTGGCCAGGAAGTCATGCTCTCTGAGTGGTCAGGAAATCATGCTCTCTGAGTGGCTTTAGACACGACTATACCCACTCAGGTGAGGTACTATGGAAGACTACTCAGAGATCACCATTTCTTAATTAAAATAGGTAGTGACTTTTGAGAAGCCAAAAACAGACTTCATTTATGTTATTCCATAAGTAAATCTTATTTATAATATAATCACTTAGAATATATGAATATTAAATTAGATTACAAAATTAATAACAGAGTTAAGAATGACAAAACTGTGTGGATTGTTTACTGAAAATATGAAATATATAATTAATGAGTTCGTCATTTTTCTCTTGTGCCTGCGACACTTGCCGCCAGCCGGCGCTGTATGAGGAGGACCCGGTGAGTCAATACTCATGCTCTGTGTACTCTCCTAGTGGTCCTGGCCGCGGTTGAGTCTCGGCTCTTGGGTCCCGCCTCTCAACTGTCAATCAACTGATGTATAGATTCCTGAGCCTACTGGGCTCTATCATATCTACACTTGAAACTGTGTATGGAGTCAGCCTCCACCACATCACTGCCTAATGCATTCCATCCGTTAACTATTCTGACACTGAAAAAGTTCTTTCTAACGTCTCTGTGGCTCATGTGGGTACTCAGTTTCCACCTGTGTCCCCGTATTCGCGTCCCACCAGTGTTAAATAGTCCATCCCTGTCCATCCCTGTCCATCCTTGTCTACCCTGTCAATTTCCCTGAGTATTTTGTAGGTGGTGATCATGTCTCCCCTTACTCTTCTGTCTTCCAGTGTCGTAAGGTGCATTTCCCGCAGCCTTTCCTCGTAACTCATGCCTCATAGTTCTGGGACTAGTCTAGTGGCATACCTCATAACTTTTTCCAGCTTCGTCTTGTGCTTGACAAGGTACGGGCTCCATGCTGGGGCTGCATACTCCAGGATTGGTCTTACATATGTAGTATAAAAGATTCTCAATGATTCCTTACACAGGTTCCTGAACGCTGTTCTGATGTTAGCCAGCCTCGCATATGCCGCAGACGTTGTTCTTTTTATGAGGGCTTCAGGAGACAGGTTTGGTGTGGTATCAACTCCTAGATCTTTCTCTCAGTCCGTTTTTTTTTATTTATTTATTTTTATTTATTTATTTATATACAAGAAGGTACATTGGGTTTGTGAGAATACATAGCATAATATTTACAATCTTGTAAAGCCACTAGTACGCGCAGCGTTTCGGGCAGGTCCTTAACCTAACAGATAATTTTAAGTACGTAAATTCTAGCAGAATTAATAAAATAGTAACAGATACATTGCAAGAAAAAAATGAGATTAGAGAGATTAGTAAGTATATTAAAGCACATTGGTATATTAAAGCTCTAATTGATTACATTGACAGCTTGATTGGTAATTTAAACAAGATTAATAGACACCATACAGCAGATTGATAGCACATATAAGAAGACAGCAATGATCACAATGGTAAAGATGTTCGGATTGGGTACATAAAGATTGGGTGATTGGGTTTCATGAAGTACTTCATCTCCTATTCTGTATCGTGTGTCTGGCCTCCTGTTTCCACCGCCTAGTTTCATTACTTTACATTTACTCAGGTTAAACTTCAGCAGCCATTTGTTGGACCATTCATTCAGTCTATCTAGGTCGTCTTGTAGCCTCTTACTATCATCCTCTGTTTCAATCCTCCTCATAATTTTTGCGTCATCAGCAAACATTGAGAGAAACGAGTCTATACCCTCTGGGAGATCATTTACATATATCAGAAACAGAATAGGTCCAAGGACTGACCCCTGCGGGACTCCAATTGTGACGTCACGCCAATCTGAGACCTCACCCCTCACAGTGACTCACTGTCTTCTGTTGCTTAGGTACTCCCTTATCCAGTGGAGTACCTTCCCTGTCACTCCAGCCTGCATCTCGAGCTTTTTCTCTAGCCTCTTGGGTGGTACTGTATCAAAAGCTTTCTGGGAATTCAAAAATATGCAGTCTGCCCACCCTTCTCTTTCTTGCCTGATTTTTGTTGCCTGGTCGTAGAATTCAAGTAACCCTGTGAGGCAGGACTGTGTGTGTGTATATACTCACCTAATTGTGCTTATGGGGGTTGAGCTTTGTCTCTTTGGTCCCGCCTCTCAACTGTCAATCAACTGGTGTACAGATTCCTGAGCCTACTGGGCTCTATTATATCTACATTTGAAACTGTGTATGGAGTCAGCCTCCACCACATCACTGCCTAATGCATTCCATTTTTTAACTACTCTGACACTGAAAAAAATTTTCTGGCGTCTCTGTGGCTCATCTGGGTACTAAGTTTGCACCTGTGTCCCCTTGTTCGTGTCCCTCCCGTGCTGAAGAGTTTGTCTTTGTCCACCCTGTCAATTCCCCTGAGAATTTTGTAGGTGGTTATCATGTCTCCCCTTACTCTTCTGCTTTACAGGAATGTGAGGTTCAGCTCCTTTAGCCTTTCCTCGTAGCTCATTCCTCGTGTGTGTGTGTGTGTGTGTGTGTGTGTGTGTGTGTGTGTGTGTGTGTGTGTGTGTGTGTGTGTGTGTGTGTGTGTGTGTGTGTGTGTGTGTTCACTGTCAACATTTACCGAGGCAGAAGTGTAGTGATACAAATGGTGGCGTTACTCCGTCTCTGTGAGTGTTACACCCGGGGCTCCCCACTGCACCTCTGTCTTCCTCAACCCTCACACAAGCCGCCACTCACCTCACCTCACCTCACCTCACCTCACGCTCACATCAGCTTAACATCATATAATACTGTGCCACGAACACTCTCACATTACGTTTACGGGCTATTCACGCCCGTACCACCTCTTGGGTGGCTTAATCTTTATCAATCAATCACTTTCACATGTTCATTATGAAATGAACATGTGAAACTGTATGAAAGAAGTTTAGGAATTAACTGTAGAGTTAACTTTTAAACTTCTTTCATGCATTTATAGAAAGTGATATTCAAGTGGTTTTTGTACTTGAGAAAACATTATTTTGTGCATGTTAAACAAAACATAATAATGTTTTTTGTGCATGTTAAACAATATATATATTGGGCTGTCGGCGGCCAAAAACATTACTAAAGAAACTAATTCGCTCATTCAGACCAAAATAATGACAAAACTGACATAACTAAATATTCTCACAACAAAAAAATTAAATAATGATAAAAATTGTTAATAAGTGCTCTCTCTTCCCCCCCCCCCCCCCCCCCCCCCGGGGCGTGAAGCCATCAGCCAGGAGCAGCCAGCATGACCCGCCGGCAGCAGCAGCAGCAGGCAGACGAGCAACAGCAGCAGTAGCAGCAGCAGGAGGAGCGGGGCCCTCAGGGGCGTGCCCGGGCGTGGGGGCGGCCACTCCTGAGGGCTGTGAGGGCCAGACCAGGAGGTACAGAGTGGTGGTGATGGGCGCCGCCAAGGTTGGTAAGACCGCCATCATCAACCAGTTCCTTTACGACTCCTTCACGCCCAAGTACACCAGGACGGTGGAGGAGATGCATCATGGCGAGTACGAGGTGGGTACCAGGTAGATGGACAGGGGTAGGGGGTAGATGGGCAGGGGGTAGGGGTAGATGGGCAGGGGTAAGCCATGGGGGGGGGTTAAGAGAGATTAAGAAAAGGGACATTTAGGAGTGAGAGAGAGCGCGAGGGAGCCTTCAACACCACGGAGATGTCTCTAGACTTACTATTCTGTACAAGACAAATGTTCTCAAGATTCCCTATTTGTCCCAACTCTGTGGACAACCAGTAGATGGCACCCGTGACACAAGACGCTCAGCCATCAACAGCCAGACGCTGACTGGACCTTTCTCAATAACCTCACTCCATCAGCGATCATTCATTCCTAACCTCACTGCCATCTGGAAGACGTTTACTGAACATGTCAATACTTCCCCAACACTTTCCACCAACTCTAAGAAAGCTTCAACTCACAGCTGGCTCCTGACTCTTCCTGTTTCCTACTTCATAATTACTTAGTATTACGTTTGAGTTTACTGGTAATTGTTACAATAATAAGCTTATAAAATGCGTGTTTCTAGGGTTAGGGTTGAGATGAGCTGACGCAAGATAACAGCTCTAAGCTTACAGTTGAGCTGGTATCGTCACCATAATGTGTAGATAGTTGCAGACTCTCAAACCGGTGTTCAACTTTACAAACAGAGATGCTAGCCATTCAAAAGGCTTTGGAACATGTTCTTGATGAACACCGACAACATGTTATCATACATATAGATTCGAGAACCGCCATTGAAACCTTGCAACAAGAACACATACGTGATAACATACATCTGATCACAAATGTCATATCATTAATGCAAACACTCAAACGATAAGGCCGACGGGTACTTATCAACTGGGTGCCAAGTCACGTGGGAATAATAGGAAATGACATTGCAGACGAAGCTGCAAAACTTGCAACTAAGAGAAGAAATGTAGACATTTACATACCACAGAGTCTATCACAGATTAAGAAAGTAATTAGAAACAGAACAATGCAGGAGATGTACAGTGACCACAACACAGCAGTTGCAACATCAGGATCTGCGGGTTGGTACAAGAATTCAACCAACTACGAACCACTTAGTTTGATGAAAGGGAGCAGTAGAGCAACAGAAGTACACTTACATCGCATCAGGCTTGGATACCCATGTGTATGGGAAGTAGTCTTAAAGGTTCCGGAAGATGAGAGGAAATGTCAGTACTGTGGAGAAATGCCCGACAGACCACTGGAACATTATCTAACACAGTGCACAGCTACAAATTCAGCAACATGTCACCTAAGATTCAACAGAGCAGAAGAAGTTGTTAAACACACGGGGCAATATCTTACTGAAGCGACCATACGAGTCATCAATACTCATACTCCGCCCAAGTAAAACAGAAACAAGCAACACTTAGTGGGCCAGCCAGAGGCTTAGGGCCCGCACAGTGGGCCAGCCAGAGGCTTAGGGCCCGCGCAGTGGGCCAGCCAGAGGCTTAGGGCCCGCGCAGTGGGCCAGCCAGAGGCTTAGGGCCCGCGCAGGAATATCACTGCAAAAAAAAAATCACTATACTTCCTAGAGAAGCCCAGTGTGTGTGAGAGAGAGAGAGAGAGAGAGAGAGAGAGACAGAGAGAGACAGACAGACAGACAGAGACAGAGAGAGAGACAGACAGACAGAGAGAGAGACAGACAGAGAGAGACAGACAGACAGAGACAGAGAGAGACAGACAGACAGAGAGAGAGACAGAGAGGCAGAGAGAGAGAGAGACAGACAGAGAGAGAGACAGAGAGAGAGAGAGAGAGAGAGACAGAGACACTACACTCATATAGCCTATATAGCCTCAGTAACTCCAGGCGTGATATCCACGGTGCATGTCCTAAGGTTACCGTGTCCCCGTGTCCCCAGGTCTCGGGCATGTCCCTCACGCTGGACATCCTGGACACGTCTGGCTCCTACGAGTTCCCGGCGATGAGGGAACTCTCTGTCAACACGGCCGACGCCTTCATCCTCGTCTACTCCATCACTGATGATGAGTCCTTCCAGGAGGTACGTGTCCTTACCCGTGTCCCAGTGTCCTCACCCGTGTCCCTGTGTCCTCACCCGTGTCCCAGTGTCCTCACCCGTGTCCCTGTGTCCTCACCCGTGTCCCAGTGTCCTCACCCGTGTCCCAGTGTCCTCACCCGTGTCCCAGTGTCCTCACCCGTGTCCCAAAGTCCTCACCCGTGTCCCAGTGTCCTCACCCGTGTCCCAGTGTCCTCACCCGTGTCCCAGTGTCCTCACCCGTGTCCCAGTGTCCGCACCCGTGTCCTCACCCGTGTCCCAGTGTCCTCACCCGTGACCCAGGCCGCAGGTGGCCGCAGGTGAGAGTAGCGTTAGTGTGCGGGGGTGTGAGAGTAATGGTCCCAACTAACCTCCGCCTCCTGCCACAGGTGCGACACCTTCGGGACTTCATCCTGCAGACGAAGAAGGAGACGGTGCCCATCGTGGTGGTGGGGAACAAGGCAGACCTGGAGGAGCAGCGAGCGGTGCCTCAGGAGACGGCAGAAACCATCGTTTTGGTCAAATGGGAAAATGGTTTCCTGGAAGCCAGCGCTAAGGACAATCTTAATGTCCTCCACATCTTCAAGGAGCTCTTGAACCAGGCCAAGATTAGGTTTGTGCAGAGAATTAACCACAAGAGCTTGGCTGAACACAAGTAACCCAACCTGACAGGACATGAGAGGGGCGACGTCCCGGCGGGCCTTCCTGGAGGCCTTGTCACGTGGTGCAGTAGCCAGAGTGGGAGTGAGCAGCTCACCTTGCCGGGCGCCGGGTACCCTCGCTCTCTCCCACTCTGGCTTAGTCCCACCTCACAAGGCTGTACAACCCGCCCACACGTCCTCACCCGCACTCCATTACACGCGCGCGCGTGTGTGCGTGTGTGTGTGTGTGTGTGTGTGTGTGTGTGTGTGTGTGTGTGTGTGTGAGTGTGTGTGCTCACCTAGTTGTGTCTGCAGGATCGAGCATTGACTCTTGGATCCCGCCTTTCGAGCATTGGTTGTTTACAGCAATGACTCCTGTCCCATTTCCCTATCATACCTGGTTTTAAAATTATGTATAGAGTTTGCTTCCACAACCTGTTCCTGAAGTGCATTCCATTTTCCCACTACTCTCACGCTAAAAGAAAACTTCCTAACATCTCTGTGACTCATCTGAGTTTCAAGCTTCCATCCATGTCCCCTCGTTCTGTTACTATTCCGTGTGAACATTTCGTCTATGTCCACTCTGTCAATCCCTCTGAGTATCTTATACGTTCCTATCATGTCCCCCCTCTCCCTTCTTCTTTCTAGTGTCGTAAGGCACAGTTCCCTCAGGCGCTCCTCATACCCCATCCCTCGTAGCTCTGGGACGAGTCTCGTTGCAAACCTCTGAACCTTTTCCAGTTTCATTATATGCTTCTTCAGATGGGGACTCCATGATGAGGCGGCATACTCTAAGACTGGCCTCACGTAGGCAGTGTAAAGCGCCCTAAATGCCTCCTTACTTAGGTTTCTGAATGATGTTCTAACTTTTGCCAGTGTAGAGTACGCTGCTGTCGTTATCCTATTTATATGTGCCTCAGGAGATAGATTAGGTGTTACGTCCACCCCCAGGTCTCTTTCGCGCGTCGTCACAGGTAGGCTGTTCCCCTTCATTGTGTACTGTCCCTTTGGTCTCCTATCTCCTAGTCCCATTTCCATAACTTTACATTTGCTCGTGTTGAATTCTAGTAGCCATTTCTCTGACCATCTCTGCAACCTGTTCAGGTCCTCTTGGAGGATCCTGCAATCCTCATCTGTCACAACTCTTCTCATCAACTTTGCATCATCCGCAAACATCGACATGTAGGACTCTACGCCTGTAAACATGTTAACATATACAAGAAATAGAATTGGTCCCAGCACCGATCCTTGTGGTACTCCACTTGTTACTGTTCGCCAGTCCGACTTCTCGCCCCTTACCGTAACTCTTTGGCTCCTTCCTGTTTGGTAGTTCCTTATCCATGCTAGGACCTCTTCCCCCACCCCTGCCTGCCTCTCGAGCTTGAACAGCAGTCTCATGTGCGGTACTGTATCAAAGGCTTTTTGGCAGTCCAGAAATATGCAGTCTGCCCAACCATCTCTGTCCTGTCTTATCCTCGTTATTTTATCATAGAATTCCAGAAGGTTTGTTAGGCACGATTTCCCTGTCCAGAACCCATGTTGATGTTTGTTCACAAACCTAATGTTCTCCAGGTGTGCAACCAGTCGTAGCCTAATTATTCTTTCCAGTATTTTACAGGGGATGCTTGTCAGTGATACAGGTCTATAGTTAAGTGCCTCCTCCCTATCACCTTTATTGAAGATCGGCACGACATTTGCCTTCTTCCAGCAACTGGGCAATTCTCCTGACATAAGTGACTCATTAAAGATCATTGCCAGAGGCACGCTGAGGGCCTGTGCTGCTTCTTTTAGTATCCACGGTGATACTTTGTCTGGTCCAACTGCTTTAGTTGCCTCCAGTGTTGTCAACTGTTTCATTACCTCCTCTGCTGTCACCTCTATATCTGATAGTCTTTCATCTAGGGTAACCCCTTCCAACAATGGGAGCTGCTCAGGCTCGGTAGTGAACACTCCATGGAAACTGGCATTCAGTGCCTCGCAGATTTCCTTGTCACTTTCAGTATATGCCCCCTCTGTCTTCCTTAGTCTTGTCACTTGGTCGTTCACCGACATTTTTCTTCTTATATGACTGTGTAGTAACTTAGGTTGTTTTTTCGCTTTGATTGCAATATCGTTCTCATAGTCCCTTTCCGATGTTCGTCTTATGTTAATGTAATCTATGTAATGTAATATAATAATGTTGTCCTTGTGTGTGTGTGTGTGTGTGTGTGTGTGTGTGTGTGTGTGTGTGTGTGTGTGTGTGTGTGTGTGTGTGTACTCACCTAGTTGTGCTTGCGGGGGTTGAGCTCTGGCTCTTTGGTCCCGCCTCTCAACCGTCAATCAACAGGTGTACAGATTCCTGAGCCTACTGGGCTCTATCATATCTACATTTGAAAAAAGTGTATGGAGTCAGCCTCCACCACATCACTTCCTAGTACATTCCATTTACTGTACTGTGACACTGTGTGTGTGTGTGTGTGTGTGTGTGTCCACCTGTGTCCCCTTGTCGTGTGTGTGAATAGTGTGTGTGTGTGTGTGTGTGTGTGTACTCACCTATATGTACTCACCTATATGTGCTTGCAGGATCGAGCATTGACTCTTGGATCCCGCCTTTCGAGCATCGGTTGTTTACAGCAATGACTCCTGTCCCATTTCCCTATCATACCTGGTTTTAAAATTATGAATAGTATTTGCTTCCACAACCTGTTCCTGAAGTGCATTCCATTTCCCCACTACTCTCACGCTAAAAGAAAACTTCCTAACATCTCTGTGACTCATCTGAGTTTCAAGCTTCCATCCATGTCCTCTCGTTCTGTTACTATTCCGTGTGAACATTTCGTCTATGTCCACTCTGTCAATTCCTCTGAGTATCTTATACGTTCCTATCATGTCCCCCCTCTCCCTTCTTCTTTCTAGTGTCGTAAGGCACAGTTCCCTCAGGCGCTCTTCATACCCCATCCCTCGTAGCTCTGGGACGAGTCTCGTTGCAAACCTCTGAACCTTTTCCAGTTTCATTATATGCTTCTTCAGATGGGGACTCCATGATGAGGCGGCATACTCTAAGACTGGCCTTACGTAGGCAGTGTAAAGCGCCCTAAATGCCTCCTTACTTAGGTTTCTGAATGATGTTCTAACTTTTGCCAGTGTAGAGTACGCTGCTGTCGTTATCCTATTAATATGTGCCTCAGGAGATAGATTAGGTGTTACGTCCACCCCCAGGTCTCTTTCACGCGTCGTTACAGGTAGGCTGTTCCCCTTCATTGTGTACTGTCCCTTTGGTCTCCTATCTCCTAGTCCCATTTCCATAACTTTACATTTGCTCGTGTTGAATTCTAGTAGCCATTTCTCTGACCATCTCTGCAATCTGTTCAGGTCCTCTTGGAGGATCCTGCAATCCTCATCTGTCACAACTCTTCTCATCAACTTTGCATCATCCGCAAACATCGACATGTAGGACTCTACGCCTGTAAACATGTCGTTAACATATACAAGAAATAGAATTGGTCCCAGCACCGATCCTTGTGGTACTCCACTTGTTACTGTTCGCCAGTCCGACTTCTCGCCCCTTACCGTAACTCTTTGGCTCCTTCCTGTTAGGTAGTTCCTTATCCATTCTAGGACCTTTCCCCCCACCCCCGCCTGCCTCTCGAGCTTGAACAGCAGTCTCATGTGCGGTACTGTATCAAAGGCTTTTTGGCAGTCCAGAAATATGCAGTCTGCCCAACCATCTCTGTCCTGTCTTATCCTCGTTATTTTATCATAGAATTCCAGAAGGTTTGTTAGGCACGATTTCCCTGTCCAGAACCCATGTTGATGTTTGTTCACAAACCTAATGTTCTCCAGGTGTGCAACCAGTCGTAGCCTAATTATTCTTTCCAGTATTTTACAGGGGATGCTTGTCAGTGATACAGGTCTGTAGTTAAGTGCCTCCTCCCTATCTCCTTTCTTGAAGATCGGCACGACATTTGCCTTCTTCCAGCAACTGGGCAATTCTCCTGACATAAGTGACTCATTAAAGATCATTGCCAGAGGCACGCTGAGGGCCTGTGCTGCTTCTTTTAGTATCCACGGTGATACTTTGTCTGGTCCAACTGCTTTAGTTGCATCTAGAGTTGTCAACTGTTTCATTACCTCCTCTGCTGTCACCTCTATATCTGATAGTCTTTCATCTAGGGTAACCCCTTCCAACAATGGGAGCTGCTCAGGCTCGGTAGTGAACACTCCATGGAAACTGGCATTCAGTGCCTCGCAGATTTCCTTGTCACTTTCAGTATATGCCCCCTCTGTCTTCCTTAGTCTTGTCACTTGGTCGTTCACCGACATTTTTCTTCTTATATGACTGTGTAGTAACTTAGGTTGTTTTTTTTTTCGCTTTGATTGCAATATCGTTCTCATAGTCCCTTTCCGATGTTCGTCTTATGTTAATGTAATCGTTCCTAGCTCTGTTGTATCTGCTTCTGTTGTCCTCTGTTCTTTGTCTTCTGTACTTCCTCCACTCCCGCCTGCTGGCCATTTTTGCTTCCTGACACTGTCTATTAAACCATGGGTTATTATATTCCTTCTTATTTTTTCCCTTTACCGTTGGTATAAATCTCTCTTCGGCCTCCTGGCATTTCTGTTTGACTAGGTCCATCATATCTTGGACTGTTTTTCCTCTAATTTCTTCCTCCCACTGCACTTCACCCAGATAGTCCCTCATCCTCATATAGTCCCCTTTCCTGTAGTCAGCTCTCCTTTCCCAGATCTCTTGTCCCATGGTCATAAGTTTGAATTCCATCATGTAGTCAAAGACTAGGACACAATGGTCACTGGCCCCTAGAGGTATTTCATGCTCTAAATTCTCGATATCTTCTACGTTCTGGGTGAAAATCAGGTCTAATAGGCTCGGTGCATCTCCTCCTCTTTCCCTTGTGTCTTCCTTCACATGTTGTGTCAGGAAATTCCTGTCTATAACATCTACTAATTTTGCTCCCCACGTTTCGTTCCCTCCATGGGGATTCCTTGATTCCCAATTTATCTCTCCATGATTTAGGTCCCCCATGATCAGCAGCTTCGCTCTCATTCTGTGGGCTAGTGTTGCTGCCTTCTGCAGTTCATCTATACATGCTTTGTTGTTGTCATCATACTCCTGCCTGGGTCTTCTATTGTTTGGTGGGGGATTGTAGATTACCAGGATCACAATCTTCCTCCCATATACTGTCAGAGTTCCATGTATGAAGCTTGTGCACTCATTGGTAACTCGATTTCCCAGGTCTTCAAACTTCCATTTCCGCTTTATTAGGAGTGCTACTCCCCCTCCCTGTCTCTGTGTCCTCTCTTTTCGTATCACCTGGTACCCTTCAGGAAAGATCGCATCTGAGATCATGTCATTAATTTTAGTTTCCACAATTGCAACTATGTCAGGATCTGCTTCACTCACTCTTTCTTTTATCTCTTCTGCTTTATTAGATACCCCATCATCATTGGTGTACCAAACCTTGAGATTCTTCATGGAAACTCTTGTACCAGAGTTCTCCCTTTCTCTGGGGGTCTGGGGGGATCTGGGGGATGTCTGGGGGGTGACTGGGGGCAGAGGGATCCGGGGGATCTGGGGGGTGTCTGGGGGATGACTGGGGGCGGGGAGGGTCCGGGGGATGTCCGGGGGGATCCGGGGGGTGTCTGGGGAGGTCCGGGGGGTGTATGGGGGGTGAAAGAGTTCAGGAGGGGTGCTTGGGGGGCTACTGGGGGCTGGGCTTCTAGGAAGGTAGGTAGGAGGGTCTGGGGTAGGGCCTGGGTAGGTAGGTCTGGAGTAGGAAGGGCATACTGGGTCTGAAGATTAGGGAGGGCATAGAGGGGTTGGGAGATAGCGTAAGGTCGGGAGACAGATAGAGGTTGAGAGGTTGGGAGGGGGAAGGATAGAGGGGGTGGGGGGGACCTCCCACCTCCCTCGCAAGGGTGGGGGGTCACATGGAAGGAGAGGGGATGAGGAGGGGTGAGGGCTGGGTAGGCTTTGGGTGTTGAGGGGATGAGGTCTGGGTGGGTTCTTGGGGTTGAGGGGATGAGGTCTGGATGGGTTTTGGGGGTTGAGGGGATGAGAGCTGGGTGGGTTTTGGGGGTTGAGGGGATGAGGGCTGGACGGGTTTTGGGGGTTGAGGTGATGAGGGGGTCCTTGGAATGTGGGATGAATTTGACTCCAGTGGGGTCAGAGGGGTCAAGGGATGTGCTGGGGAGATAAGCAGGGGCGGCTGATTTGGGGAAGGGGTGACCTTAGAAGCACGTGTGAGCTGGTTAGCATGGGGTGGATTAGCACTGGGGTGTGTAGCTGCGCTCAAATGGGAAGAGTCGTATTGTTGTTTGAATGCTCTGTGGGCAATCTGTTCCTCCCTCGTCATGAATTTGTCAATAAATACGTTGTAGTAATTTTCGCTACCTCTGAGTAGGTGTTTGTGATGCAGTATGTAATCCACTGCCTCTTCGTTAGTGAACTGTACCAGGACAGGTCGTTTCCTGTTACAGTTGTATGGTCCAATGCGTCGGTGGACTTGCACCTCATTCCCTGCCATCTGGGCTCTCATGTCTCTCAAGATCCCCTGTAGTTCCAAATCCTCAATCTCCATCCTTTCCTGCCTCGATGGTGCCCTGGCTTCAAGTAATCCATGGATTATGATTGTCCTCTTTCTCAGTTCAGGGTCATGCTGGTGGCCCTCTCCCTGGCTGACCCCCACCCCTCCTACACCCGCTACTCCACCTACTACTACTCCCCCTTCCCCTGCCAAGCTTCCCTTATTCCTGCCAAATTCATTAGTAAGCCTAGATATTTCTCCTTGCCATTCTACCCTGCTCTTCCTGATTTCCTCTTGAATATAATCCATAAACTCTTGTTTGAGTCTTTGAACCTCGCCCTGTATCTTATTAAAGACTTCACTTTTAATCCCCTGGATTAGATCACCTATCCAAACATCCCTCTTCTCTACAAATTTCCCAATCATCTTCTCCACAAACCTATCTTCTTCCTCAATCATAATACTGTTGGACCTAGACACCCTTCCTGACCTAGTCATTGCTATAATGCAACCTTACCCACTGGGGTTCCAAGTATCTTACCGTCCTGCTAACACAATAGGTGAGTGAATCTCCAAGCGTCGTCCCACGTGGTGGTAGAAGGTTGCTGCCGGGGTGAGGTCACGCGGTCAGAGGTCGGTGAGGTCTGCTCCACACTGCACACTGCCACAATACTTCCTCAACTATATTGAATTACGCTATTTAAACTGTTTTTCGTCACTACCTTATGGCTCTGGCCAAAACTCAAGGTTTTTTCATTCACTTGTACACACTTTTTCACTTCGAAGTTGCCTGATTACCCCTCCCACTCCACTAGTGACCCAGGAGCTCCCAACCCACGTCCACCCAACACGATGTGTGTGTGTGTGTGTGTGTGTGTGTGTGTGTGTGTGTGTGTGTGTGTGTGTGTGTGTGTGTGAGCCAGTGTTTGTCTGCCTCTGACTGACACTCAAGCACTTAAACATCAAAACATTCTACATATTCCTTTCATGAAAGTAGTTTTAGAGTTGAAGAGGAATGAATATTAAGTTATGTGTTATTTTAGGCATAATGCTGCATCTGCCGCCTTGCTCTGAGTGCCTCTGGACTCCATGTTTGCAAATGTTGATTAAATCAAAGACAATGTTTCCTTTGGCCTTTTACAAATTGATGTTTACGTCTGCCAAAAGACATCCCCCAGTAGTTCCCTCTAGTTAATACCTGTGTCTGTTACAGTTGTTAAACTATTACTAGATGCTGACGAGTGGCGGACGTTAACTTACGGACTGATAACAGGGAAATATTAATGTGTTAGATAGGTGATTAACCCAAGCCGTCCTGTATGCTGTATGCTGATTGGTGATTAACCCAAGCCGTCCTGTAAGTTGTATGCTGATTGGTGATTAACCTAAGCCGTCCTGTATGCTGTATGCTGATTGGTGATTAACCCAAGCCATCCTGTATGCTGACGGCCAGGTGGTTGGCGGCGTGTGGGGGCCAGTCTTGACTGTTGACCCCCCCCCCCCACGAGGTCACTGGTCAATGTGGAGCAACCCAACATGCAACATGTCCTCGGGAACGAAATCCACTCGTGGGAATGGGTTCAGAACGACTACGTAATTAGTGCTGTTATCTACTCTCTATCTATGGTTAGAGGGGCCTGATGGCTGAGTGGACAGCGCTCGGGATTCGTAATCCTAAAGTTTCGGGTTCGATCCCCGGCGGAGGCAGAAACAAATGTGCAGAGTTTCTTCCACCCTGATGCCCCTGTTCACCTAGCAGTAAATAGGTAACTGGGAGTTAGACAGTTGCTACGGGCTGCTTCCTGGGTGTGTATATCAAAAAAGAAGCCTGGTCGAGGACCGGGCCGCAGGGACAGTAAGTCCCGAAATCATCTCAACATAACCTCAAGAAGGTCAGATTAAGGTTACTTTAGGTTAAGGTTAGGCTAAGTTAAGTTAGGTTCGATTTCGTTTGATTACGTTAATATGGTTAATACGGTGTATTATTGCCGATGTGAAATATGTAATTCAAAAACTATTTGAGTGTACCCAAGAATTCTTTTTACAGAAATCCAAATTCTTCAAACAAACCGTTTTGAGCATATATGTTTTATATTTTAAATCATCGATTTATAATACAATAAAGTTATAACTTGAGAATAATCTGTGTTTAAGACAAAGGTTTACTTCCCAGTTTACATGAAGACTATTAGTGGACCCACAATAATCTTTCTGATCATCACACACATAACTAGTTAACTATTCAGGTGGTTTGAAGTGGAGTGTGGTATCTGTTGGTAATTTAGTTAGGTTATTGTTAGTTAGGTCATGTAGTTAATGTAGTTAGGTAATGTTAGTTAGGTCAGCATCTAGTTATTGTAGGACGGCCTCTGCCAGGAGGCCAGTGTTGCCTGGCCTCCTGGGTGCTGGGTGTTACACCCTAATGTACTGAAGATGATGTTCTCGTACACAGGTATGCTCTGAGTCCCGCCGTGAAGAGGAGGAGACAGTCCATGCCGAACGTGGGCATGCAGATCACCCCGGCCCAGCTCTCCCACCTCCACCACATCAGGCAGAAGAGCAGCGGCAAGCGCAACTCTTGCGTCATCTCCTAAGCCATGTTGGATATATTCTTGTTGGGGGGGGAGGGGAGAGAGAGGTTCTATTTTTTAAATGGTAAGATAGAATTTTACCACATTATAAGAGGTTAAACATGACTGAATGACCTGTAGATGTATCCAACACGGTCGACTCGATAAGATGTCGCTTTAGCTTATACAAAGTCCTAACAGGAATCTTGCGATTGTATTCGTTATATATATATATATATATATATATATATATATATATATATATATATATATATATATATATATATATATATATATATTTAGTTTGTGAGGAAACACGAAAATGGACGATGAAAAAATTATTTGTTCACCATTGTTAAAAGGCGAATATAAAATGTAATGTTAATATGAGAGCTAACAGGTGGAACACGTGCTGACAGGTTCACCACACACCTGTGGCAGGACTCATGACAGGTGTGGCAGCTATGGAACAATGCTAGATGCAGTAACTACAGACAATGAACATTGATGTGACACTCTCAGAAAATGGATATAAACATTGCACAGAAAATGGACACCTTGGAAAATGGACATTTATGTGACACTTTTGGCCAATATCGCCTCAATATAAAGCCTTTGATTACCGGAGCGTTACGGGCGCAGTGGCCACACCGCCAGTCAGTCGAGGGTGTAGGTGTTACTGTGTAGTGCTGAGTGTTACTGGGAGGGTGTAGGTGTTACTGTGTGTGGTGCTGGGTGTTACTGGGAGGGTGTAGGTGTTACTGTGGGAGCGGCGACGGTCAGTGAGCGCAGCCTACTCACGTCCAAGCCCCTCGAGGTAAACAAACACCCGCCCTCAACACATTCATGATGGTTCCCCATTCATCGTCCAGGAAATAAATGTTGGTACAGTCCTTGTGTTCACTTGTCAGCCTCACCATCCCACAAGCACAAGTATCTGACGTATAAATGATATAACACGAACAAAACTAACCATGTTTACATTTCTATTAAGCATGTAGGAATAAAGGTGGATGCAATGTAGCTTTGTTAAAGTATTTCTGCCAGATTTGTTTTAAAGCTATTAATAATTCTTAACCTTCACTGTAATTCTATATAGTCCTTGTTAGTAGTAAGTAAGAGCGCTCTCGAAAGGCCAAACCAAAAATACCCAACTCCCCGAAGACAAACAGCCAGTGTATATATATCATCGGTGAAGGAGCTTATCCCAATTGGGGCAATATTGGAACAGTACAGTGGGAGGGAAGTGAGACCCGTCGCCTCCCCCACACTCCTACACCACCGTGTCTGGGCAGACGTTTGTGAGCTCTTTACCAATATATTACTCCAAAAGGTTTGCTTGATGCGTCACACCAGTATGGGTGAGGGTTGCCTGCTGCACCAGCACCCACACAGGCCCGGGCACACCACCCCACACACCACAATACACTCCTTCTTGTTGTTGTTTTAGATTCAGCTACTGGGAAGAAAAAGTTGCAAGTAGCACGGACTATGGTGAGCCCGTAGTGGACCTACCTGGCACAGGAGCGGGGCTGTAACTTGAGAACGTACTCTTAATGCACTCTCTATATTCTCCACAAAGTAATACTGAAATTGCCTCCTCTATTCATTTTAATCACTCCTTTAATAAGGCTTTTCAGTGGCTGTAAATGGCTTTACGGCTTTACGGTGGCTCAAGTCGCTCTCAGGTTTCCAGCCACTTTATCAAATCCTTTTCCAGGGTTTCCAATAGCTTGAATAAGTCCTTATCCAGGCTTTCCAGCGACTAGTAAGTCCTTATCCAGGCTTTCCGGTGGCTTTTTATTCAGTCAATATCCAGGCTTTCCAATGGCTTCAACAATCCCTAATCAGCATTCTCCAATCCATTTAATAAGTCTATATGTCTAATCTCCGGTGGCTATTAAGTCTTCGTCTTGTCTTGTGAGTAAGTTAATTTAATATAAGTTTTTATATTGGAGTAGAGGACACAGTAGAGGGGCAGGGAGGTCATGGCAGCCGGCGACACCTAGCACAGTCCAGGGACGACGGTTCGATCCCATTGTATGGCCTTAATATTTTCTCACAGATATATAACGTTTTCTGTTCTCACTCTGCGCATACTTTTCATACTGAAGTGAGTATGCGTCAAGGTTCGTATGACGTTTAGTGCTAGAGTTAACCATAATTTAATACATTTATCTTCTCAACTTGGTACTTTCTGAAATGCAAGTTGCATCAACGTGATGCAGTGTACAGTAATTATTTATTTATTATAGTTATTATATAGTTATTATTATAGTTATAGTTATTCGCAAACAATGAGAATTTTTACAAGAGTCGCCAGTGGAATGCACACACTCCCTTGCCTACACCTTCATGTTGGCATCAGTGTGGTCGCTCCCACCACACACACATGACTCTTGAGTCACCCCACAGGTGGCACGGGCATGAATAGCCCGTAAGTGGTAGATTTCTTTGAGTGAATGTGACCTATGGTGGAGAAAACACACAGAGAGAGTGCCTCTTTAGTATATATGTGCTCTGAGGTCATGACCTAGTTCTCATTCACCTGCTTTTCCACCTTCCGATATTCCCGCTTCGTAAGTTCCCGCTTCGTAAGTTTCCGCTTCTAAAGTTTCCGCTTCTAAAGTTCCCGCTTCTAAAGTTTCCGCTTCTAAAGTTCCCGCTTCTAAAGTTCCCGCTTCTAAAGTTCCCGCTTCTAAAGTTTCCGCTTCTAAAGTTCCCGCTTCTAAAGTTCCCGCTTCTAAAGTTCCCGCTTCTAAAGTTTCCGCTTCTAAAGTTTCCGCTTCTAAAGTTTCCGCTTCTAAAGTTCCCGCTTCTAAAGTTTCCGCTTCTAAAGTTCCCGCTTCTAAAGTTCCCGCTTCTGAAGTTTCCGCTTCTAAAGTTCCCGCTTCTAAAGTTCCCGCTTCTAAAGTTCCCGCTTCTAAAGTTCCCGCTTCTAAAGTTCCCGCTTCTAAAATGTAAATTCCCCTGGGGGTCAGGTCACCATGCGGCTCAGCTTCCCATTCTCTTTTGTCGATAAACCACTCTGGATAATTCTTACAACAGCCTAGTTTGTTACATAAAGTTCCCGCTTCTAAAGTTTCCGCTTCTAAAGTTTCCGCTTCTAAAGTTTCCGCTTCTAAAGTTCCCGCTTCTAAAGTTTCCGCTTCTAAAGTTCCCGCTTCTAAAGTTCCCGCTTCTAAAGTTCCCGCTTCCAGTGTTGCCGGGCAAGTCATGTCACTGTTACCAATCCTCACTTCTGTCTTTAGCTTTGAACTTAAAATGCTTATACAGAAAAATATATATAGTATTTCTCTCTCTCACATTTATACATCTTGTCAGCCCATCTAACCATCAAGTACTGGTGATGTTGACTAAATGATAAAACACACACACACACGGCACACATGTTATGGTAATCAAATAGAGCTCCTCCCGTTCCTCCCACAACCAATCACAATCCAGAAATGAAAATAAACACACTTTGATTCGCTGAAGCGGAGGCCTTTTTGACACTCCCGGCGCCTGCAGACCTTCGCGCCATTTATTGAGCGAAGAAAACGGAGATGTTATGCATATTCAGTGCGCGGATTTCCCGCGTAAACTGGACCTTCCGCGCCAAGTCTTGTGTAAACACAATAAAAAACTATTGTATAAGAACCCAATAAAAGCTTATTAACACTTATTTCGAGTTTTAATTGTATATTTATGATAAATATTTAAAACTTTATGTTTCAGTGGATTTTTGTCCATATCTTCGAAGTCTCAAGAGCCACAATTGTTTATCCCCTTCACCCCCACAACCACAACCATACCTCTCCACGACCCCCCCACAACCATACCTCTCCACGACCCTCCACAACCACAACCATACCTCTCCACGACCCTCCACAACTACAACCATACCTCACCACGACCCGCACCCCCACAACCCCTACTTCCACAACACCTGCCCTTCACCACAACACAACATAGAACTACACCAACAGTTCAATGATACTAAGGTTTCCAACTCAGTTTTTAGTTTTATTTAAAAAAACATAAAACATTTTTAAAACATCTTGATCTTGCAGATATAAATCTAAAAAAAAATAATTTTAAAAACATTTATGCTTATTACTAATCCTCTAGCACAGTTTATGGAAAATAAATAATAACACTAAAAGTTAATGAAATAATAAAGTCAAATAATGCAAGTTACCTTGCTATTTCTATATTAAGTAAAACCAAACTCATACTCTTCACCTCAATCACTAGAAGGTCGTGCTCGAGAAGAAACTTACAAATATGTTCAGTGTGCAGTAATTGTCGCCAGGTAGTTCAACACCTTGAGCGGTAAGTTCGTAAGAGTTGAAACATTTCTCTAATCTGCATGAACTGAATTACACCATAAAAAATGGCATATAGCAGCTATATTTCATTTAAATTCTCACTTTGGATATATGTAGTTCATATAAGCTGAAATATATGCTGAAAACTCATATAAGCTGAAAACTCATATAAGCTGAAAACTCATATAAGCTGAAAACTCATATAAGCTGAAAACTCATATAAGCTGAAAACTCATATAAGCTGAAGACTCTCTATTTCAGCATTTGAATTTGAATGTATTAACGCAGAGACGGCGACACATGAGCTAATTTATTCCAACGGATGTGAACCGCCACCATCTTAATACTGAAGGACATATTATCAGGAGTCTGTTTCTCTTTTATTATTCTAATCAACTAAACTTATCGTTGGTAAATGGTAGTTCAGCCTTGGTCATTGTTTGATGTGAAGCCCGCCAGCACCTGGTGGCCGCCAGCACCTGGTGGCCGCCAGCACCTGGTGGCCGCCAGCACCTGGTGGCCGCCAGCACCTGGTGGCCGCCAGCACCTGGTGGCCGCCAGCACCTGGTGGCCGCCAGCACCTGGTGGCCGCCAGCACCTGGTGGCCGCCAGCACCTGGTGGCCGCCAGCACCTGGTGGCCGCCAGCACCTGGTGGCCGCCAGCACCTGGTGGTCTCTCACACGCTGGGGACACGGCCATGTCTGGCCCCAACCTTACTGCTGAGAAGAGAGAGGTTGTCATAACGATTATAGCTTCAGGCAGCCAATACTTCAGGCAGCCTATACTTCAGGCAGCCTATACTTCAGGCAGCCTATACTTCAGGCAGTCTATACTTCAGGCAGCCTATACTTCAGGCAGCCTATACTTCAGGCAGTCTATACTTCAGGCAGTCTATACTTCAGGCAGCCTATACTTCAGGCAGTCTATACTTCTATACTTCAGGCAGCCTATACTTCAGGCAGCCTATACTTCAGGCAGCCTATACTTCAGGCAGCCTATACTTCAGGCAGCCTATACTTCAGGCAGCCTATACTTCAGGCAGCCTATACTTCAGGCAGCCTATTCAGGCAGCTATACTTCTATACTTCAGGCAGCCTATACTTCAGGCAGCCTATACTTCAGGCAGCCTATACTTCAGGCAGCCTATACTTCAGGCAGCCTATACTTCAGGCAGCCTATACTTCAGGCAGCCTATACTTCAGGCAGCCTATACTTCAGGCAGCCTATACTTCAGGCAGCCTATACTTCAGGCAGCCTATACTTCAGGCAGCCTATACTTCAGGCAGCCTATACTTCAGGCAGCCTATACTTCAGGCAGCCTATACTTCAGGCAGCCTATACTTCAGGCAGCCTATACTTCAGGCAGCCTATACTTCAGGCAGCCTATACTTCAGGCAGCCTATACTTCAGGCAGCCTATACTTCAGGCAGCCTATACTTCAGGCAGCCTATACTTCAGGCAGCCTATACTTCAGGCAGCCTATACTTCAGGCAGCCTATACTTCAGGCAGCCTATACTTCAGGCAGCCTATACTTCAGGCAGCAGGCAGCCTATACTTCAGGCAGCCTATACTTCAGGCAGCCTATACTTCAGGCAGCCTATACTTCAGGCAGCCTATACTTCAGGCAGTCTATACTTCAGGCAGCCTATACTTCAGGCAGCCTATACTTCAGGCAGCCTATACTTCAGGCAGCCTATACTTCAGGCAGCCTATACTTCAGGCAGCCTATACTTCAGGCAGCCTATACTTCAGGCAGCCTATACTTCAGGCAGCCTATACTTCAGGCAGCCTATACTTCAGGCAGCCTATACTTCAGGCAGCCTATACTTCAGGCAGCCTATACTTCAGGCAGCCTATACTTCAGGCAGCCTATACTTCAGGCAGCCTATACTTCAGGCAGCCTATACTTCAGGCAGCCTATACTTCAGGCAGCCTATACTTCAGGCAGCCTATACTTCAGGCAGCCTATACTTCAGGCAGCCTATACTTCAGGCAGCCTATACTTCAGGCAGCCTATACTTCAGGCAGCCTATACTTCAGGCAGCCTATACTTCAGGCAGCCTATACTTCAGGCAGCCTATACTTCAGGCAGCCTATACTTCAGGCAGCCTATACTTCAGGCAGCCTATACTTCAGGCAGCCTATACTTCAGGCAGCCTATACTTCAGGCAGCCTATACTTCAGGCAGCCTATACTTCAGGCAGCCTATACTTCAGGCAGCCTATACTTCAGGCAGCCTCTGCTTCAGGCAGCCTCTGCTTCAGGCAGCCTCTACTTCAGGCAGCCTATACTTCAGGCAGCCTATACTTCAGGCAGCCTGCTACTTCAGGCAGCCTATACTTCAGGCAGCCTATACTTCAGGCAGCCTATACTTCAGGCAGCCTCTTCAGGCAGCCTCTGCTTCAGGCAGCCTCTGCTTCAGGCAGCCTCTACTTCAGGCAGCCTATACTTCAGGCAGCCTCTACTTCAGGCAGCCTCTGCTTCAGGCAGCCTCTGCTCAGGCATACTTCAGGCAGCCTATACTTCAGGCAGCCTCTGCTTCAGCCTCTGCTTCAGGCAGCCTATACTTCAGGCAGCCTATACTTCAGGCAGCCTCTGCTTCAGGCAGCCTCTGCTTCAGGCAGCCTCTGCTTCAGGCAGCCTCTACTTCAGGCAGCCTCTGCTTCAGGCAGCCTCTGCTTCAGGCAGCCTCTGCTTCAGGCAGCCTCTGCTTCAGGCAGCCTATACTTCAGGCAGCCTCTACTTCAGGCAGCCTCTGCTTCAGGCAGCCTCTGCTTCAGGCAGCCTATACTTCAGGCAGCCTATACTTCAGGCAGCCTATACTTCAGGCAGCCTCTGCTTCAGGCAGCCTATACTTCAGGCAGCCTATACTTCAGGCAGCCTATACTTCAGGCAGCCTCTGCTTCAGGCAGCCTATACTTCAGGCAGCCTATACTTCAGGCAGCCTATACTTCAGGCAGCCTATACTTCAGGCAGCCTATACTTCAGGCAGCCTATACTTCAGGCAGCCTATACTTCAGGCAGCCTCTGCTTCAGGCAGCCTCTGCTTCAGGCAGCCTCTACTTCAGGCAGCCTATACTTCAGGCAGCCTATACTTCAGGCAGCCTCTACTTCAGGCAGCCTCTGCTTCAGGCAGCCTATACTTCAGGCAGCCTATACTTCAGGCAGCCTATACTTCAGGCAGCCTATACTTCAGGCAGCCTATACTTCAGGCAGCCTCTGCTTCAGGCAGCCTATACTTCAGGCAGCCTCTGCTTCAGGCAGCCTCTACTTCAGGCAGCCTCTGCTTCAGGCAGCCTCTGCTTCAGGCAGCCTATACTTCAGGCAGCCTATACTTCAGGCAGCCTATACTTCAGGCAGCCTATACTTCAGGCAGCCTATACTTCAGGCAGCCTATACTTCAGGCAGCCTATACTTCAGGCAGCCTATACTTCAGGCAGCCTCTGCTTCAGGCAGCCTATACTTCAGGCAGCCTATACTTCAGGCAGCCTATACTTCAGGCAGCCTATACTTCAGGCAGCCTATACTTCAGGCAGCCTATACTTCAGGCAGCCTATACTTCAGGCAGCCTATACTTCAGGCAGCCTATGCTTCAGGCAGCCTACTTCAGGCAGCCTATACTTCAGGCAGTCTATACTTCAGGCAGCCTACTTCAGGCAGCCTCTGCTTCAGGCAGCCTCTGCTTCAGGCAGCCTATACTTCAGGCAGCCTCTGCTTCAGGCAGCCTCTGCTTCAGGCATACTTCAGGCAGCCTATACTTCAGGCAGTCTATACTTCAGGCAGCCTATACTTCAGGCAGTCTATACTTCAGGCAGCCTATACTTCAGGCAGCCTATACTTCAGGCAGCCTATACTTCAGGCAGCCTATACTTCAGGCAGCCTATACTTCAGGCAGCCTATACTTCAGGCAGCCTCTGCTTCAGGCAGCCTATACTTCAGGCAGCCTCTGCTTCAGGCAGCCTCTGCTTCAGGCAGCCTCTGCTTCAGGCAGCCTCTGCTTCAGGCAGCCTCTGCTTCAGGCAGCCTATACTTCAGGCAGCCTCTACTTCAGGCAGCCTCTGCTTCAGGCAGCCTATACTTCAGGCAGCCTCTGCTTCAGGCAGCCTCTGCTTCAGGCAGCCTATACTTCAGGCAGCCTCTGCTTCAGGCAGCCTCTGCTTCAGGCAGCCTCTGCTTCAGGCAGCCTCTGCTTCAGGCAGCCTATACTTCAGGCAGCCTCTGCTTCAGGCAGCCTCTGCTTCAGGCAGCCTCTGCTTCAGGCAGCCTCTGCTTCAGCCGTTGAAAAACACACAAGATAAAAAAAATTCATGTGTGTTTCATAATATATTCTTCATTTCTTGTAATTTACTGAGTCTTAATTCTTCGACAAGTGTTTCAAGGCGGGAGCCTGGGTATGGATTTGTGGTCAAATATTCCTTAATACTGCAAGTGAGCGGGTCAAGTTCAAGTACGTGTATTGAGACAATAAGATACATCTCAAGAGGATAGAACAGCTTAGGCAATTTCTGCCCTCAAGTGAGAAGGTCAACATTTATTGGAGTAAACACAACCTTCTTTACAATTGGTCTAACTAAAGTTGCATCAAGCAACTTTACTTTATCAATTATTTGGAGTCAAATAATTTGTTGACTCTATGTTCTTCACTAAGTATGGGTGGCATAACAAGCAGACATACATTTCTTTTTTATCGGAATACATGTCAAAAAATATGTGGGGCGTGGAGCACCTCTCACGTTGTTAGAGCAGCCTTCACGTCTGACCATAGTTGAGGTGTTGACCAGACCACACACTAGAAGGTGAAGGGACGACGACGTTTCGGTCCGTTCTGGACCATTCTCAAGTCGATTGTGAGAATGGTCCAGGACGGACCGAAACGTCGTCGTCCCTTCACTTTCTAGTGTGTGGTTTGGTCAACATATTTCAGCCACGTTATTGTGACTCCTCGTCTGCATTGTTGAGGTAGTTGACCCACAGCTGGTTAAGAGATAACTATCTTGTTTTACAGTCAAGAGGTATTTGTAGTGGACTTGTGCCTTCACTGAAAGTTATATATAACATTTATATTCAACTTGTTTAACAGAGGAGATAGAGAACCATGTATGGGTTTCTGCAATGAGAAACTCCACATTTCAAGGTCGCCCTTCAGACGATGTGCAAGATACTGTCAGTTGTATGGCGTGACACACAGTACACATCTTAACGACAGGGGTGACAGAACTTCCTCTTTTTAATCTTGCGTAAACTCCATTATTATTTCCTATCATAACAATCATATTATCTGGTCCTATTCCAACGAGGTTCTTCAAGTCCAACTTTATATTCGAAAATAATGATTTTATTTCCTCTACATACTCTCGGCATCACAGTGTCAGACAGAACCAGTCCAAGATGTGTTGACACAAACTTATAACGGAGTTTACTAAAGTACAAAAAGGACACTGATGACACCTCCTGAACGTCACTGTCATCAGACACATCAAACACCACACTCTACTGACTATACTTATGTCATATGAACAAACTCCTGCTCAGAATGGCTGCACAAAACATTATAAAAATGACTGCACTTTGTGTGATACATCTTCAACTGTGACACAATATTACTGTCATCAACATTGTTCTTGCACACATCACCAAGATGGTCGCAGTTCCTTGAAGCAGAGTGACAACACAAGAGTATCGTAATTGCTCCTTCCAGCTTTGATCAATTATGTTCAGCAGTTGTAAACACTGAAGTGAGAGAGTGAGGTACAACACGAGGTATTGGAGACTGCGCCCCGTCCCAGGGAGGAGTGAGCACACTCTGGGGCTGGTGGCTCAGTGGACAGCCCTCTAGACTCGTCAACCTAGGGACCGGGGTTCGGGCAAAGTTTCCTTCACTCTGATGTACCTATTACCTAACAGTAAATAGGTACCTGGGAGTTAGACAGCTGCTATGCTCCTGGGTGTATGTGTGTGAAAAAAGTTAGTTGGTACTTAGTAACAGTTGATTGATTGAGAGTTGAGAGGCGGGCCGAAAGAGCCGAGCTCAACCCTTTCAAGTACAACTAGGTGAGTACATTGATGGTGGTAGTGGAGGCAGGAGGCTCGCTCCTGCACCTTCATGTGCTGCTGGTGGTCGTATACCCCAGCGTCCGGTGAGTCTTGGGTCTCCCTCCCTCTCTTACACTCTCCATCCCTCCCTCCCTCCCTTCCCTGCCTCCCTCTCTCCCTTCCCTCCCTCCGTACATATATGTTGTTTGTTGTTTGACATTATGCTACTCAGAACGAGATATCCATGTAGCAGGGGCTATAATGAGCCCATAACCTTTACATATAGATTGAGTGATAAAGATTAAGCCACCCAAGAGGTGACACGGGCATGAATAGCCCGTAAGTGGTACAATTTTTTTTCAGTAATTCTTTTCAGTATTCTGAGGTTGCATTTAACCATCAAGCTGTTATCGCGGGGGAGGATACTGCTTCACAGTCTTTATGAGGGTGTCCAGCTGCTGGACACCTTTGTTGACCAGGAGAGTGGCTGTGTTGATGGCTTCAGGGAGGCCACTGCAAGATTCAGGAACTCTTAAAGCTCTTCTAAGGTCATTGGTTGCTTTACATTCCAAAAGATAGTGAAGTAATGGCTTTTCTGTGACAGTTTGGCAGAAGATGCACTCTCTCTGTCGGGGTTCACCAATCTCCCAGTTGCATCTGTAACCTAGACGTAGTCTATATAACCTAACTGCTATTTCTCTGTGGATTCCTTTTGGGATATTTAACCTTTCTAATTTGGTTGCCTGAAGATACCATGTTGCAGATGGGGAGCCTTCAGCTACTCTCTGGTGTAGGTAGGCTCTTACATATACCCTTCCTTCTCTTTATATTCCAATCCTTCCTTCCTTCGCCTCACTGTCTGCTATCCTCATAATGTAGCATTTACTGACGTTGAATGGGAGGTCCGGAGCTAATGTGGACGGATCTTGTTACTTGTTACTGACGTTGAACTCTATACAACGTTGCGGTACACGTTGTGCGTGTACCACCTGTCTTAAATACTCTGTCTTTAACCTATCAATTCTTCTTAGAATCTTGTATGTTGTGATCATGTCTCCCCTAACTTTTCTCTTCCAGGGACGTGAGGTTCCCGTAGTCTTTCTTCTTAACTCATACCTCTCAGCTTGGGTACTCACCCTGCTCCACACACCTATCTTCATTACTTTACATTTGCTCGAGTTAAACTCTAGTAGCCATTTGTTGGGCCATTCTTCGAGTTTGTACAGATCATCTTTTTGTCCCCCACCGCGTTATTGTTTTACATTCAGCTACTGGGAACACAAAGTTGCAAGCAGCACGGGGTATGGCGAGCCCGTAGTGGACTTACCTGGTACAGCAGATGTGCCCATCCCCACTCCTCGCTCAGAATTTTGGGCTAAGGACTGTGTGTGTGCGTGTATCTAATGTGTGTATGAGAGAGAGAGAGAGAGAGAGAGAGAGAGAGAGAGAGAGAGAGAGAGAGAGAGAGAGAGAGAGAGAGAGGGGGGGGGGAACGTCCGGCCAGCAGACGGATAGTACACCACCACAGGCACCACCGGTGCAGTAGTCCCCGTGGAGTGAGTGGCCGAGACAGGTGTTGTTGTGGTACTTGCCGCCACAGTGAGACACCTGTTGCCACACCTTGTTATCGCCACACCTTCCTACGCCCCGAGCGCAGCGCTCTTAACACCTGAGCCACCAGCTGCGTCACCCACACACAGTTTCCAACATCTGTAAACCTCATACCTGCCTTGTCGAGCAAGAACACCCGAGTAAACCTTTGCAACAGCACCTGTCTTCACACACAGCTTCACCTGCACCCGTGCACAACTCGTGGACCTGCACAGGACCAGGTAAGGTGCGAATCTTTTATTTGTTAGGCTATATTAGGTCTATCGAGGTCCCTCTAGGATACGGGCCCCTCACAACAGGCCCGCAAACCTATATGCGGTCCGTGGGCCACATGCGACCAGTGGGCCACATGCGGCCCGTGGGCCACATGCAGCCCGTGGGCCACATGCAGCCCGTGGGCCACATGCGGCCCGTGGGCCACATGCGGCCCGTGGGCCACATGCGGCCCGTGGGCCACATGCGACCAGTGGGCCACATGCAGCCCGTGGGCCACATGCAGCCCGTGGGCCACATGCGACCAATGGGCCACATGCAGCCCGTGGGCCACATGCAGCCCGTGGGCCACATGCAGCCCGTGGGCCACATGCAGCCCGTGGGCCACATGCGGCCCGTTACTCTTCTAAATGTGGCCCACCACCCTTTCATATGCGGCCCGCGAGCCGCTCGCTGATTCAATCTCACAGTTTAAATTAAAGTAATCTATATTTTTACATATTTGTGTCTGTGTGTCCATGGAGAGAAACTAGATTGTTTCCTTCAAGGAGTGCCGGACCAACCGGGCTGTGGTGGGTATGTGGGCCTGCGGGCCGCTCCAAGCAACAGCCTGGTGGACCAAACTCTCACAAGTCGAGCCTGGCCTCGGGCCGGGCTTGGGGAGTAGAAGAACTGCCAGAACCCCATCAACCAGGTAACAACCAGGAGAGAGAGAGTAAGGTGGAGCAACTGCCACACTGAAGGCTGTCCTCAGGAAGACTACACCAGCACACAGTGTTGACCACAGTGTTGACCCTCACCGACTCCCTCTCACACCCACGGTCCAGGCTCAGGTCACACACCTGGCTGTCCAACTGTAATAAACTGTTCGCTCATATAGGACTTTTATGAATCTGAAGTGAAGCAATATGTACGAACTGAAAGATCATTTCTTCAGCTAGAAATCATTTAATGACACTGTGAGTTTGCTCTGAATAAAGAGTTGTTGAGTGTTTGTGTTAGGAGAGTTGACGAGTGTGTGGGAGTATGTGCATTTGTGGAGGTACACACCTGACTCTTAACACCTTTGATCTGTGATGAACACCAGCCTGTGGTGCACACACCTTAGTCCATTACGGACATTGGTGAGCCCGTAATGGACTTACCTGACACAGGACCAGGGCTGTAACTTGCATTTACCTCAGTAATCCCTTATTAACATCCCTTATCTCATTAAAGACATTGCTTCTCACCTCACCTCATTCCTGCCATATATATATACATATCCACACCACTGAACTGGACAAACCCTAGTTACAGCCCCGCTCCTGTGTAAGGTAAGACCACTATGGGCTCGCCATAGCCCGTGCTACTTGGAACGTTTTGTTCCCAGTAGCTGAATCTTAAACAACAACAACAACACTGAACTGTAAGTCACGGGAGACATCTCCCGTCACGCAGGGTGCAGTCGCACCTCCACAGATCTCCAGTATCAGCTCTTGATACTGGTAATGGCTCAAAAGGTCCACCACTTACGGGCTATTCATGCCCGTGCCACCTTTAGGATGGCTTAATCTTTATCGATCTGTAAATCCCAGGATACTAAGAGACATTGCAGTAGGCATAAACAGACTCAGACTTGGTTACAAGTGCTGCTGGGAGGTAATAAACCCAATAGTTAAAGTGTCACATCTGTGGAACAGAAGCAGAGGCGCCACTATTGCATTACTTACTTACTGGACTGTGAACCACTGAGGCCCTGTACATCATACTCAACATTAATTTAACGACAGCAGCTGCATTAGAGGCACATTCCACAGCGACTACAATGATTAGAAAAGCCGTTGAAGGGACGACGACGTTTCGGTCCGTCCTGGACCATTCTCAAGTCGATTGTGAGAATGTCTCACAATCGACTTGAGGATGGTCCAGGACGGACCGAAACGTCGTCGTCCCTTCACCTTCTAGTGTGTGGTCTGGTCAACATACTTTAGCCACGTTATTGTGACTCATCTCCTGCAAGCCGTTGAAGAATGGGACTCACTTGTGAACATCCGCCACCAAGATAATGTTATTAAAACAAGACTAAAACCAGTGTACTAAAACAGAAGTGAAAAAGAAACGGGTAAAAAGGAGTAAACCCTCCACCTCCATTTGAAACTTTGATCCACATATCCCAGTAACAAGGTTATCGTGAATAACCGAACTCAATTACGGGCTCACCATAGCCCGTGCTACATGGAACTGTTTGTTCTGAGTAACGGAATCTATACACAACAACAAAAACTGTAAATCCATCCTTCTGAAGATGTATTATTAAATACGAAACTACTTAAGGAAATTCCTGTCTTAATCTCTCCTTCGTGGTCTGACACTGTTCATCACCTGTTAATTTCTTCATGATTTACACACACACACACACATGAATATATACTTAGTATATATTCATATACTTAGTATATATTCATATATTCCTTTCGTATTGTATAGGGGATATGAGCACCTGGGGGAGCCCTTCCCCGGGTGCTCATATAGTATATATATATATATATATATATATATATATATATATATATATATATATATATATATATATATATATATATATATATATATATATATATATATGTCGTACCTAGTAGCCAGAACTCACTTCTCAGCCTACTATTCAAGGCCCGATTTGCCTAATAAGCCAAGTTTTCCTGAATTAATATATTTACTATAATTTTTTTCTTATGAAATGATAAAGCTACCCTTTTCACTATGTATGAGGTCAATTTTTTTTATTGGAGTTAAAATTAACGTAGATATATGACCGAACCTAACCAACCCTACCTAACCTAACCTAACCTATATATATAGGTAAGGTTAGGTTAGGTAGCCAAAAAAAGCTAGGTTAGGTTAGATAGGTTAGGCAGACGAAAAAACATTAATTCATGAAAACTTGGCTTATTAGGCAAATCGGGCCCTGCATAGTAGGCTGAGAAGTGCGTTCTGGCTACTAGGTACGACATATATATATCTATATATATATATATATATATATATATATATATGTCGTACCTAGTAGCCAGAACGCACTTCTCAGCCTACTATGCAAGGCCCGATTTGCCTAATAAGCTAAGTTTTCATGAATTAATTGTTTTTCGACTACCTAACCTACCTAACCTAACCTAACCTAACTTTTTCGGTCACCTAACCTAACCTAACCTATAAAGATAGGTTAGGTTAGGTTAGGTAGGGTTGGTTCGGTTCAGTCATATATCTACGTTAATTTTAACTCCAATAAAAAAAATTGACCTCATACATAATGAAATGGGTAGCTTTATCATTTCATGAGAAAAAATTAGAGAAAATATATTAATTCATGAAAACTTGGCTTATTAGGCAAATCGGGTCTTGCATAGTAGGCTGAGAAGTGCGTTCTGGCTACTAGGTACGACATATATATATATATATATATATATATATATATATATATATATATATATATATATAATATATATATATAATCACCTATTTGTACTCACCTATTTTTGCTTGCAGGGGTTGAGCTTTGGCTCTTTCGTCCCGCCTCTCAACTCTGTGTGTGTGTGTGTGTGTGTGTCTGTATAACTGTTTCATTTGAAACTTTATTACACAAAAATGGTTATAATATTGGTTACATACAAGGTACAAAGATGGTTGTCACAGACTGTCCAGCTCCTCAGATGACAGGCAGGAACCATGAATGCAGTGTGCATTTCCCCTTTGTATCGTCACGCTGAGGCGCTGGAAAAGGAATCTGGCAGCTCTAGGGTCTCTTGTTCTGATTAGCTTAGAATCCTTCATAAAACCAGATCCTTTATAAAGTTAGTAGCACTGTTATGCCAGGCGCCAAGTGTCTCGGAAGCAATGGGGACAAAATAGAGGTGGGTGATCCAGATCTCTGTACTTACAAGACTTGACTGATTCCCTGTGGGTGGCAGCACCAGCCACAGGCAACACCCAAGTCAATATAGGTGTGTGCCAGGGTTGATACACACGTGTAGTCCCACACCGAGTCCTAACGCTCTTCCAGTTGACTGTGATCCCAGCTGGGCGACCAACAGGCTGACCATTGTTAAGGACATTAGGTTACATTAGGACATTGTTAAGGACATTAGGTTGACGGCAACCAGGAGGCCTGGTCGACGACCGGGCCGCGGGGACGCTAAGCCCCGGAAGCACCTCAAGGTAACCTCAAGGTAAGGTACAGGGTGTCTCTCTCTCTCTCTCCTGGACATTGGGCTGTGGTCAGACTCCTCTTAAAGATGTCACAAGGGATAAGGTATGATAATAAGGTGGCGGAGCGGGGGATTACCACAAGAACCGTCACCAACACACCAGGGGAAGCTGACAACCACAATACCGGATGTTCTTTAACCCACAATACAGTGGTCGCCTGAGGTAGCTACTCTGTTCTCGGCATCTTCACTACCACCAGAGTAAGCGTGGACGTCTGGCTCATGTGTGTCCACTTATGGCTAGGACTAGGAGACCAGAACCCCTCTACAGTCTGTACCTGTACACACCTGTGCTCATAACTACTGTAAAGTAGTAGCGTCTGTAGTAGCAGCAGTATCAGCAGTAGCAGTAGTAGTAGTAGCAACAGCAGTAGCAGGAGCATCAGTAGCAGTAGCAGCAGTAGCAGGAGCAGCAGTAGTAGTAGTACATACTATGGGCGTGAACACCATGACAGGATCTAAAGTAGTATTCAGGTGAAGGTAAAGACAAGGTAACTTCGTCTCCTATTTGATATAAAATCTACTATACTATAAAATTTATGTACATAAGCTAATGGTCTATTAAAGTGCTATATAGTCGTAATGGCTTGGCACTCTCTCCTGATACTTCTCTTCCTGGTCTATTAAAAGCAATTCTTTCATCCAGACCACCTCCATATATGACACCAGGGAGCTGATCCATTGGGCACTGGTGAGCTGACCCGCTGGGCACCAGAGAGCTGACCCACTGGGCACCGGGGAGCTGACCCGCTGGGTACCGGGGAACTGTCCCGCTGGGCACCGGAGAGCTGACCCGCTGGGCACCGGAGAGCTGACCCGCTGGGCACCAGAGAGCTGACCCGCTGGGCACCAGAGAGCTGACCCACTGGGCACCGGGGAACTGTCCCGCTGGGCACCGGAGAGCTGACCCGCTGGGCACCGGGGAGCTGTCCCGCTGGGCACCAGAGAGCTGACCCGCTGGGCACCGGGGAACTGTCCCGCTGGGCACCAGAGAGCTGACCCGCTGGGCACCGGGGAGCTGTCCCGCTGGGCACCGGAAAGCTGACCCACTGGGCACCGGGGAGCTGTCCCGCTGGGCACCAGAGAGCTGACCCGCTGGGCACCGGGGAACTGTCCCGCTGGGCACCGGAGAGCTGACCCGCTGGGCACCGGGGAACTGTCCCGCTGGGCACCAGAGAGCTGACCCGCTGGGCACCGGGGAGCTGTCCCGCTGGGCACCGGGGAGCTGTCCCGCTGGGCACCGGGGAGCTGTCCCATTGGGCACCGGGGAGCTGTCCCGCTGGGCACCGGGGAGCTGTCCCGCTGGGCACCGGGGAGCCGTCCTGCTGGGCACCGGAGAGCTGTCCCGCTGGGCACCAGAGAGCTGACCCGCTGGGCACCGGGGAGCCGTCCCGCTGGGCACCGGGGAGCTGTCCGTTGGGCACCAGAGAGCTGACCCGCTGGGCACCGGAGAACTGATCCACTGGACGCCAGGAAGCCAAGCGGGGGTGGCTTGACTCACTCCACCAATGGTCACCAGGGGGGGTGACCGCTTGCTGAATCACCAGGCAGGGGGTGGTGACTTCACTCGCTCCACCACCGGTCAGCAGGTGGGGTGACTGCTGGTGCCGCCACCGTCAAGAGGGTATCATTAGCGTTATCGGGACCAGAGGTCGCAGAAGTGCTAGAGTACAAGGGAGCATGAGGCCAGGTACCTTCCGTACTATGGTATAGGCACATGAACGTCCTGCTCTGAAGCTTTGAACTACCCATGATGTGATGGCATGGTGTGTGCGTATATCTGCTGGTATTGAAGAGGACGTCAATAGTGTTCAAGGCTACGATTGCGTATGCCGGTAAAGTTGCAGGTGATGTTCATTGGGTATGTCAAAGCGATGTCAGTGTATCTTAGTGATGTAAATATTATCCTGGATTGCAATGGTCGCATTAACGAAGTCTAGGATTCAAAGATGTTAAACGTGGCCATTTACTGGGCTCTATCCTTCAGCATCACGTATGACATAACCAAGCACGCCACTCGCAGCAAACTCCTGGGAATCAATCACCTTCTAAGACTACAACGAGGACATGGATAGGGCTCTTCATCTCAACCGAGCTCCAGTCATCGAGGACGCCACAGAAAACATCAGGAGACTCTCAGATTCCACCAGGACCGCCCGAGAAGGCCCTCACATGATAAACATCAGCGGTGCTTTAGACTTCGACTCGCTGGTCATAGGAGCTGCCAAGGAAGACGACATGTCCTGGGTACAGATTGTGTCGTACGAGGTGCTGCTTCCCATACTGTTGCTGCTGGGGCTGGTCATCAACGGCTTCGGTATCTTCCTCCTCACAAGGCGCAAGCTCAGAACAAAACCTTCAAATCCGTGAGATAAATAATTTGTTTACACAATTAAAATTGCAATGTCGTGATAAATCTAGGAATAAAAATTGGAGCTGTATGACAGACTGGAACCCCTCGTCTGTGATTACCTCAGGCACACGTAGTATCCATAGTGGGTGTGCCTAAGGTGACCAGGGTCGAGGGTTTGATTCCCCTCATGCAGCCTCAATATTTATTTAGCATTTGTTGATTTTGTCTGATTCAGTACACAGCAATAGGACAGGTCAGGATTTTAATGCACTGTTTAAATTATTAAAACCATCCAAATGACTGGATCAATTCTCTCTATATTGATATTATTAAATAAAGTCTTGAAATATTTTTGAATCATGAATTAAAAGTATTGAGCAACGAAAATTAAATATCAACTGAGGACTATAAATTTGACAGCTATATTTCTTTCAACCTGCTCAAGGCAGGTTCATATATGTTGATCGTCACGTTTTACCGAGTAGACATTCCTTTTCTTTCCCTATGATTAGTCTCTCACGTGTGAGCTTGTGATGGGTACACTTAATGCCGTCTGTCGTCTCCTCCCGCAGTTACTACCTGCTGCTGCTCTCCTCAGACGTGGTCATCCTGGTTGTCAGTGTTTCCACCGTCATCACGCTCAACGGATGCCGCCTTTTCTCCTACTCCGTTGCCATCTACTTCGCCCATTTTTTCTTCACTCTCTTCTACATCCTGCAGACCTTCACACTCTACATCATCCTCTGGATCTCCTACGACAGGTTCCTCGCACTCTGGAACTTCAAGAGGTTCCACGATGTTCAGAATCGTCGAGTGTTTCGCATTAGAGTTATAGTCACGGCACTCTTGTGTGTTGTTATCCACCTGAAGCACCTGTTCGAAGTGCAGGTGACGTGTTCGGAATCCCGGGAGTGGAATGGCGGGACCGAGGACCCTAGTGAGGGGTGTGAGGGGGGGATTTGGGTCATCAACGACGACCTCCACTACCTGAGTAGGAAGAGTTCGTGGCGGGTGGTGTTATGGGTACTTCGAGGACTGTTGGTGTTGGTAGCGCCTATCATCCTGGTGCTGGTGTTCAACGGCGGCATCGTGGCGGGGCTGGTGCACCGCCGCCTTCACAACGCTGCCTCCACCATCAGGACCCGCGGCCAGGCCTACTCCAGCATCTACATCGCCCTCGCCATCTCCGCCACCTTCATCCTCTGTACCGTACCTGCTACCGTCCACGCCACCTTCTACGCTGATAACATTAATAACTGCAGGGGTCCCTACTCCGAGGAGGTGTTTCGTGCAGTGGCAAACCTTCTCCTGATAGGGGAGCACCTCACACACTTTTTATTCCTCTCATTCAACGAAACTTTCCGCATCGAACTCAGGACTCTCCTCCGAGCGATGCGGCTCAGTATCTTGAAGGTCTATAGACAGTCTCGATGTTGCAGTTGCTACGGTCTGCCCCGACGGAAGTCTCCCCCAGCCCCAGCAGCGCTTCCTTCACAACACTCGCCCCCCGTGTTCATCATCTCCTCTCCAGATGCCATCCTCCAGGGCCCAGAGGGAGGCTCCAGCATCGCTCTCGAAGTCATATCCTCCAGCGACTCCTCACTCCCACCAGCGTCTTCCATCCATCTAAATGATGACCTTAAACCAGTCTCTTCCGTCAATCCCACCCACTCCCAAAACCTTCCATCTAGTGTATCTATTCATCTCTCAGATTCATCAGTTCTACCCTCCAGTTACACCCTTTTTCCTGACTCCGAGGACCCTCCCTCAAGGTCCTCCTTGTCAACAATTGAGGAGGTCATCTGAGCCCTACAGGACTAGTCTGGCTGAGACCTGCTGCTGGGAGTGGAAGCTGCATCTTCCGCACATTAATAATAATAATTTATTTGCAAGAAGGTACAATGGGTTGGTGAGCTTACATAAGATTGGTATTTTCACATTCATGTACAGCTACTAACACGCATAGCGTTTCGGGCACAGCATTATATGTGTGTTACACATTATATGTGTTACACATTATGTGTGTTACACATCTATGTTACACATGTGTGTTACACATTGTTACACATTGTGTTACACATTGTGTGTGTTACACATTATGTGTGTAATTTGGACATTCTGTGCACCGACAATTTGGACAATTTGTAAACTATGAATAAATATTGAGGCCATACAATGGGATCGAACCTGCATCCATGGGACTCCCCAGGCACATTTATTAGTGAGATTCGTTACGTTCTTGTGATTTAATTATGCACTTTGTAAACTGTTTAAATACTGAAGGATTGTGATTGATATATATATATATAATTTTAATTTTAAACTATACATAATGTGAGCATCCTGCGCTTGCTTTAAATATTTTGTACCAGATCTGAACAGTCTAAATGAAATTTTGAAAATTTATCGACATTTCATACACATGTATTCTGAAAAAGGGTTAAAATGTTGTTCTGATTGAATTCATTTAAGACGGGCTCACCATAGCCCGTGCTACTTGGAACTTTTTCTTCCAGGTAGCTAATCTTTAACAACAAAAACTACAACAATTCATTTAATTTGTAATTGTAAACATTAATAAACAGTACCAGACAAACTTCTCAGCATGTGAGAAAATATTAAGGGAATACAAGGGATCGAACCCGCGTCCCTGCACTCCCCGGGCACAATAATAATTCCAGAGAACACCATGGAGCACAGACGAGTCTAAAGACGAAGTGTAAAAAATGCTCAAGGAGCAAAGTAAGAATACAGCAGTTGGATCCAGATGGAGTTTCACCATGGGTTCTGTGCACCTGAGCTCAGCATTCCACTTCAACTGATTTTTCAGGCATCCCTGTGTACAGGAGGATCCACACACACGTTATTATTTGTCCACACATAGCTGATGTGTGGAAAAAGGCTAACATAGTGTCAATCAACAAACCTAGTAGCAGGGAAGACCCCCTCAATTATAGACCTGTATCGTTGACAAGTGTAATAGTAAAAATATTGGAAAATAAAACTAAATGGGTAGAACACCTGGAGAAAAATTATATAACAGAATGGTTTTCGATCTGGAAGATCCTGTGTAACGAATTTACTGTTTCTATGATAGAGCCACAGGGAATTTACAAGAAAGAGATGGTTGGGTTGACTGCATCTATCTGGACCTAAAAAAAAAAAAATGGGCTTTCGACAGAGTTCCACATAAGAGGTTGTTCTGGAAACTATAACATACTGGAGGAGTGATAGGGAGGATTCTAACAAGGATGATTTTTTTTCTGACAGAAAAATTAGTGCAGTAATCAGAGGCAATGTATCGGACTGGATAAATGTCACGAGTGGAGTACCACAGGGTTCAGTTCTTGCACCGGTAATGTTCATTGTTTACATAAATGATCTACTAGATGGAATACACAATTATACCAGTAGTCCCCGTGGTGCAGTGGTAAAACAGTTACAGCCCCGCTCCTGTGCCAGGTAAGTCCACTACGGGCTCACCATAGCCCGTGCTACTTGGAACTTTTGTTCCGAGTAGCTGAATCTAAAACAACAACAACAGTGGTAAAACACTCGCCCGGGATTTCGTGAGCACTTTGGCCTGGGTTCCTGACCGGGGAGGATTGACTGGGCGCCAATCCTTAACTGTAACTTAACTCTGTTCACGCAGCAGTGAATGGGTACCTTCTTGTTAAACGATTTGGCGGGTCGTATTCCGGGGAAAATTAGGATAAAGGACCTGCCCGAAACACTACGCGTGTTAGTGGCTGTGCAAGAATGTAAGAACAAATTCAACAGGAGCCTTGATGAGGGTTCGAACCTATGCGCTGCGTGTTCTCAGGCGCGTGCTAGTCGACTGCACCAGGACATGGTAAACATCCCGGGTAAATACACACGGTAAACACACGAACAAATCCACAAGGGCCGTGACGAGAATTCGAACCTGCGTCCGGGAGCATCCCAGACGCTGCCTTAATCGACTGAGCTACGACATGGTCAAAAAGAGTTGAAACCGAAGTTCTACTGAACTCACTGGATCCTGCAGCCTCTCCGAGGCACAAACCAGGGTTTTACACAACTCCCCCCTGCACTCAAGCTATGTCAATAGGCCGTTCTCCCTCTTCGCCCTTACTTCATTACACACAGAAATCACAATAACGTGATGCATCAAATGAACAAATCCACAAGGGCCGTGACGAGGATTCGAACCTGCGTCCGGGAGCATCCCAGACGCGACCTTAATCAACTGAGCTGAACAAATCCACGACCTTGTGGATTTGTTCATTTGATGCATCACGTTATTGTGATTTCTGTGTGTAATGTAAGAACTCTTGTATATATAAATTTACAAATAAAAAAAATATGAACATGTTTGCTAATGATGCTAAGATACTTGGGAAGCTAAGAAACATTCGTCACACTCTTCAAGAAGACAAAATAAGTATATGGAGCAACACTTGGCAAATTAAATTTAATGTGAATAAATGCCATGTTATGGAACGTAGAATAGGAGAACATAGACCCCACACAACCTACAAATTATGTGAAAAATCTTTAAAAAAATATGATAAAGAAAGAGATCTAGGGGTGGTTCTAGATAGAAAACTATCACCTGAGGGGCACATAAAGAACATCGCGTGAGGACCTTACGATGATTTCGGGGCTCAACCTCCCCGCGGCCCGGTCCTCGACCAGGCCTCCTGGTTGCTGGACTGGTCAACCAGGTCAACCTATGATAAACTTTCCAATTTCAGAATTGCTTTTAAATACATTGATAGTGAAATGCTTAAGAAATTGTTCACGACTTTTGTTAGGCCAAAGCTAGAATATGCAGCGGTTGTGTGGTGCCCATATCTTAAGAAGCACATCAACAAACTGGAAAAGGTGCAAAGACATGCTACTAAGTGGCTCCCAGAACTGAAGGATAAGAGCTACAAGGATGATTGATTGATGAAGATTAAGACACCCAAAAGGTAACACGGGCATGAATAGCCCGTAAGTGGTGGCTCTTTTGAGCCATTACCAGTATCAAGAGCTGATACTGGAGATCTGTGGAGGTGCAACTGCACCCTGCGTGACGGGAGATGTCTCCCGTGAGCTACGAGGAGAGGTTAGAGACATTAAATATGCCAAAAAATAGAAGACAGAAGGAAGAGAGGTGATATGATCACTACGTACAAAATAGTAACGGGAATTGATAAAATTGATATGGAAGAATTCCTAAGACCTGGAACTTCAAGAATAAAGAGCTCGCAGATTTAAACTAAACAAAACTACCGAAGAAATATAAGAAAATTCACTTTCGCAAACAGAGTGGTAGACAGTTGGAACAAGTTAAGTGAGAAGGTGGTGGAGGCCAAGACCGTCAGTAGTTTGAAAGCTTTATATGACAAAGAGTGCTGGGAAGACGGGACACCACGCATCCCGTCATATTAAGGTCCCCAACGTCAAGAAACTGTCGTACTAAAGTGCTCTTATCCCTAACCTACCAGAGGACCCAAAACAGAAAACGGGACAATATGTCAATTTCGCGAGCTGCTTCCATTTTCCAGTACGACAATTTTTGGCCTCAGGTAAAGTATCGGTCAAAATGTGAGGCTCTAATATGAGGACGGGTTGTGCCCCAGGCGCAGTTCTCATCCTTAACTACACGTCGGTAATTACAGTATATGGCACTCTATCATACACAAATATATTCCCAAGTATAATAATTATCTCTATAATATTCTATAAAGGAAGTCCTCCTGCAGCCCGTTCTCTATATTTACCTCTTCGTAAATAATGCAACTGTTTTGCCTAGCCAGAGACGTACGAACCTACACAACCCACCTAACCTATCGCGACCCGTCCATATACAACACACAGACGTGTCTTACAGATTGGTCCATTCTGAGACAAACTAATTCATTTACCTTTGGTGTAGAGGTAAAGGTGGGCGTCGCCATAGTTCCTCCCGTACACGGGGTTCACCTGCAGTGTTGCACTCTGGCGATATTCCTTTATCTGTTCCATTGATCACTTTGTAAAATAAAGTTTAGCAAGGCGTGTATTAGCGGCACAAATATAAGGGAGGTGGAGGCGCGGGTGGCCAGCGTGGCCATGTTGTGGTCGCTCACTTGCCGACTGAACTCACTTGCCTCCTAATATTGGCTCACTTTCCCAAGTCTTCACTTAAACCTTAAATAAACCAAATATTAATTATATTATTCGGTTCTGAACAAATTGTTAGTTGTAAATTTCCATTGTGTTTTAATTATATAAATTTACGGGTTGTAGTCAAAAAATTAATTTAATATGACCAAAACTTCTCTATTTTCCTTACATTTTCTTCACTTGAGAAGGAAATTAAAAAATTAACTCTCCAAAGTTAATTTTTGCAGTTTTATTTGACCTTACTCTAAGAGTCGCATTTTGTTAACTCTTGTTAACATTGTCAAAGGCAGAGTTCTAATAATTATAAAGTTTCTTGTTGCAAGATATGTACCGAGGATGAGATATCCTCACAAATAACACCAAAATAATCGACAATAGAAGACTGGACATGGGCGAGGCACTATACAACAAGTAAACCAAGCCATGCATCAATAGCCAACCACCACCATATTACACACTGCCAGCCTCCACAACACACTGCACCAGCCATTATGGTGACAGGAGTTGTTATAGATTCAGCTACTCGGAACACGTTCCAAGTAGCACGGGCTATGGTGAGCCCGTAACTTACCTGGCACAGGAGCGGGGCAAGAAGCACGGGCTATGGTTAGCCTCTGTGGTGTGTGTGGTGACAGGAGTGTGACAATGGACCTATAAGTGAAATGCCTTGCCTTCACCTCATACTTGGATACATATTATGCTGAAAGAAATTTTGTAATCTCTATTGATACTGGTAATGGCTCAAAAGGGCCACCACTTACGGGCTATTCATGCATGTGCCACCTTTTGTGTGGCTTAATCTTTATCAATCAATCAATCACTTTGTAATCAAGTTACAGCCCTGCTGCACCTGTGCCACGTAAGTCCACCACGGGCTCACCGTAGCCAGTGCTACTTGAAACTTTTTTGTTCCCCGTAACTGAATCTAAAACAACTTTGTAATCTTACAGGATATTTGTGCCCGTGCCACCTCTTGGGTGGCTTAATGTTCATCAATCAATCATCACATTGTAATCATTCGGACTTGTCTGAACAAGAGTTTACGAAACACTTGTCTTAGCATCAAACCAAATAAAACTAAAAATGAACTTTGGTGAGAAATTTTTTAAATTTCCTTCTCAAGTGAAGAATAGTGTAAAGAAAATATAAATATGTTGTACCTAATAGGCCAAGTTGCCTAACAAGCCGAATTTTCCTGAAATATTATATTTTCCACTTTTTTATTATTATGGAATGATAAAACTTTCCATTGCATTACATATCACATGATTTTTTTAGTTAAAACAGAAATTTCATCTAATCTAACTTACTTGGTCAACTATGCAGGCCTCGATTTGCTTAATAAGCCAAGTTTTCCCTAAATTATATATTTTTCAAATCTTTTCTTATGGTGTTATTTTTTTATAAAGCGCTCCACTACATTATATATGAGTTCAGTTTCTTAAAGTTAGTTAAAACTAACGTTGAAATATGATCACACCTACCTAACCTAACCTAACCTAACCTAACCTATCCTAACCTAACCTAAACTAAACTAACATAATTTTGTC